ATTAATATAATATAATACAAATTAATTTATTCCCATATAAATTAATTAAATTCTTAACAAACTATTAAATCATTAACAACATGTAACGGGTAAATGTTTAAAAGTAATTAATTAGAACGTAAATATATGTGTTGAGTTCGTTAAACTAATTTTTTGATAGGTCAACTACAGTCAATAAAACCAAGTGACTCATCACTAGTTCCGATATTAATTAGGAATTAACCAAAGGTGTCTAAGGTGGGGTGGGTGTGTGCGGATGTGTCTCTATGTCGCTATCCATATAAAACATGTATATTTGAGTAGCCGTATTCATCGATCTAAACCGTATACAACGTCTATATCGTATTGCAAAATGTTGGTTAAAACTTACGCGTTGTGGTTTGTGTTTTTACTGAACCATCTGATACGGTGTGATTTACGGTTTTGAGTTATCAAACCATATCTCTCTCTCTCTCACACACACACACATATATATATATATATATATATATATAGAAAGAGAGAGAGAGAATAATTGCTAATTTATGTAATATATTTAATCTATTTTCTGTAAGTTTCGTTAATAAGTCTAAAGTTTTGTACTTTAATCTATAATGTTAATCAACTATAGTCCAATAATTCGTTAGCCACTTTTAGACTTTAAATAGAACCCATAAAACATCGACGATTAGGTCATAAAGCTACGGCTTTTGTCCTAGTTTACTCTCAAGTATCAAGTTTCAAAAGATCTTGATTTTTAGACACAATCAACATCTTACTCGTTAAAATAGAACTCGTAAAAAACGAAAGCTATAATGATCAAAAATATTAGGAAAAAATATTTTAATTATTTAATCATAAAAAAAAAACAAAAGAATATTTTTTTTATCTATTACCTATTTATTAAAAAATATATAACATATGATATAAGCATGTGAATTTACGTCTAGTTTTAAGTTAATTAATTCCCATTCTTTGCATCACACAATCCCATATTACGAGTTAATTGAAATCGTACGGTTATCATGTTGATGTAGCGAGTGACTGGTTGAAGGATTAACCGGTTACCACGTTAATGTAGCGAGGAATATAGCATCCAACTCGGTATTATTTGCTGACATGGATATTTTAATCTAAAATTAGTTTCTATGTATTGTGGTTTATTAGAAGAAGGAGTTAATGTTTCAAGTGGTTACCCATATACTTAATGTTTCAACTGGATAGATTCTTGTCAAAAGTTAATTGGGTCCAAACAAGCCCAATAAATAGCCCACAATCACATATACAGTTTTGGGCTTTACATTTGGTTTGAAAATTGAAATGAAGGATTGGGTCGGGTCGGGTCAGGTTTAGATGTATTCGAAACATGTATAAAATTATAAACACAAAATTGGAATGCTTAATTTTATTAACTCAAGTATATCAGTTCTTTTGGTTCGTAAAATCGAGAGAATGCCGTAGTTGGCAAATTTTAAGGAATTTTATTGTTTATTTATATAACTGAGAGAAAAAAAAAATCAACTTTTTGTCCAAATTGTTAATAGAAAAAAAAATCATGTTCGATTACGAGCCTTCTGCTAGACTCAGTCGTTGACTCAACCAAAAAATATTTCCTCATACTGATGTCCTGAAAGACTGGTTCGTATTGGACTGATTAGGAGTCATCAGTAATCAACTTTTTGTCCAAACTGTTATTTGAAAAGAAAGTTCCATAATATCTAAAGGAAACTTATGGAAGTAAATATTATGTAAATGAAATAGGAAAAAAAAAGGAAAACTGCACCAAAATGGAACCAACTTTCACATGATTCCTATTTTAGGGAACCAATTTTTAAAATCATCATTTAGGAGTCTATATAAATTTTTTTGTTTATTTAAGGGTCTGGTTGATCTGTTGAACATGTAACAGGTAATTTAAGGGTCTCTATCAAACTTTTGGTTTGATTTGCCAAATTTGATTTAAACTTTAATATTGATACGGATTGGTTAGATATAAAAATCTTGAATGTGATATTTAATATTTATTTTTTATTGCATCAATTATTTTTTTTATTAAATTGAGTTTTTTATTGCGTTAGTAAAAAACAATTTTTATTGTGTTAATTCGGATTTTTTTTTTGAAAAAATCTTCAATTTGATATATGAATTTAAAAAAAACGAGATTTGAAATGAAAAATAGATTTTATTGCACTATTTTTTGAAAAAAAAAAGAATTTTAGTTATTTTTCTATAATTATTTTGCAAGTTGGTTTCCCAAAATAGGAATCAGATGCAAGTTAGTTCCTCAAAATGACGATTTTGAAAATTGATTTCTTAAAATAAGAATAAGATGAAAATTGGTTCTATTTTAATGTAATTTAAAAAAAAATCATGTGACATATATTCTAAAATTCTAATCACCCCTAAACCAAAAAGCAACATGTATCACGTGTCAAAATTGCAACCATGTTTGCTTGAAGATGAGCCCCTCCATATTTGCATCCCCACAAAATTAAAAAATAAATAAATATAAAAAAATTAAAATTTATAGTTTTTTTATTAAAACACAAAAAAAAACCCTGTTTTGAGGATAAGCAACTTGTGGAAAGCTTGTGGCACACACCACTTGTATCATCTCCATATACTTTCATACCTTCATCCTCACAAACACCACTCAACCAAAATCTACACCTACCAAAACATGGCTTCTTTGAACATGTTTCTAGCTCCGGCGGCCGCCACCACCGCCACCACCAACACCTCAAAAGCAAGAAGAGTACAGACATTTGCCACGGCGGCAAAGGGTTCCGGCGGCGGTGGCGGTGAGGAGAAGGGGTTTTTCGAATGGCTTATGGGTGCATTGGATAAGAATACACTGTTGGAGACAGACCCAATTCTCCAAAAGGTGGAAGGCAAGAGTGGAGGAACCACCACCACCAGCGGTAAGAAGACCACCACATCGGCGGCGCCACCCAAGAAGAGCGGCGGCAGCGGTGGCTTTGGTGGGCTTGGCGGACTCTTTGCTAAGAAATGATGTATGGATGTTAGTTTGAAATTTTATTAAATTCGGTATTATATCGCATTTAATCTTTTGATCCTTAAATATATATATTATAATTTGTCCAACACACAATTAAAGATTATGGATTTCTCAATTTTAGATGCATATGATTTTACATTTGCACCATTCAAGATTCTATCAAATACGAAAATGAATCATTTTTGTTAGATGCGTAATTTAGGTGACGTTTGTTTTTTTAAGAGGTGTTAAAGTCTGAATTTTTATTTTATTTTTGATTAATAAGAGGTGGTACAAAAGTCTGAAATTTAGGGGCTGTTTGGTAGGCTCTTAATGGTTACATTAAGAACCAATCGTTGAATTGGTCAGAGGTTGCGTGTGTTTGGCAAAAAAAACAACCTCTTAATGGTTACAAACACCTCTTAACCATTTTGCACCTGGTGCTTCACTCAACCATTCAGACATCATTTGTTGCATCTTTACCCCTCCCACCCCTCTCTTCCAGCGTCGCCTTCACCGTCTCCATCCAGAGTTCACGTCGCCTTCCATCTCCGCCTTCACCATCTCCATCTCCGTCTCAAATCATAGAACCCAAAAATCAAATCATAGAACCCTGCACCCCTCTCTTGTTGGTCACCGGAACAGTCGATCGAAGCTGGCGACGGAGAGGGATGGCAGAGGCGGAAGGCCTGAGCGGCGGCGACGGAGGGGAAGGCCTGAGCGGCGGAGACGGAGGGGAAGGCCTGAGCAGCGGCGACGGAGGGAAGGAGAGATGGTAGGAGATGAAGGGGGCGATGAAACTGGAATGTATATACATATATGATTTTTGTTATTTATAATTTAATTTAAATTATTTAATATTATTGAGGGTTAAAATGGTAATTTGTTATCATTCAGAAAACATTTACCAAACAACCATATTTCATTCAGCACTTAACCATTCTGACCCTCTTAGCCATTCTGACCTCTTAACTATTCTGCACTAAATCATTCAGCAACTGCCAAACAGCCCCTTAGATTAGTAAGATTGTTTGTTTTTACATCTAAAGTCTAAATCGATCAAAATAGGGCAAAAATATAAAAGATAATAGTTTTTTACAGAAGTACAAAGGATAAATAGTTTTAGGGCTGTTTGGCAGTTGCTGAATGATTTGATGCAGAATGATTAAGTGGTCGGAATGATTAAGAGGCTCTCATAATAAAAAATGAAATATAATTGTTTGGTAATTGTTTATAATGAAATTTGGGCGCTTAATGGTTAAGGGAGACCCATGATACAAAACCATTCAGAGGATTTTAGAACCATTAAGAGACATATTTTTTTTTGTCAAACAAGATTCATCTTTTAATGATTTAGAATCTGCCTCTTAATGAAACTATTAAGAGGTAAACAAACAACCCCTTAGCTAACAAATATCTTTCGGTCCCTAAAATAAGAACCATTTGATAGAGGGTAAATTAATATTAAGAGATATTAAGGGATACGTTTACCACCAAAGGACATCTAGAGCTTTTAAGCTCTTATTTTAAAAATAAAACAAACGCTTTTAATGTTCACATCTAAACGAATCAGTCTTCAGAGATATTTATAGAGTTGTTGACGGGTTAATAGTCAATTGCTTTTTAATACAGTAAGCTTGAAAAAGCACTCTAAAATAAAAGTGTATAAATTTATATAAACAACAGAAATCATGTTATTTCGACTGGAACTTTACTTGATATTAGAGTCTCTACTATAAGATACAACGAATGAATATGGTGTTTCCATTTGAATTAGGATACAAGGCATCTTGATCGACATAAAACACGATAAGGGCAACTTGGTCATTTCAGCTAGCTTATTTGAACGATGATGGTATTAAAAACCGTTAATATCACAATTTTCTAGACAGATTAACTTGAAGGGAAAGAAAATATATGCAAGAGGTTAAAAGCAACTCTACTTACTTGGCATGTTGAGTAAATCACCGAGGGATAATATCAATGCGTTAATAAATCCTAGAAGGGTATTCGCGCAATGCAGCGAGATACATCTTAAATGATAAAGTAACATATATTAAAAAAGAATATGAAAGTTTAATTACATCATATATTATATTAAAAGTCTTACAAATTAAAACAGCAAAAATGTCTTAAATGATAAAGTAACATACAAAATTCATGTAAATATAATTTTTATTCTAACGTTGTTGGAAACAAAATCTTCAATCAATTCTTCATGATCAACTTTCTACGATAAATCATTGAATTGAAATATTAGCAAATAGAAGTTTACCAACCGTTTTTTCCTTCAACTTCTCTAGACCCCAACTCGATTCTAGGGTCGAATTCTCTCTTAACTCTCTGTTTTTGTACGTGTTTTCCAAGGGGCTATAATGCTTTGAACAATGGCGAATAGTATCATGATAAACGAAGTCAACAAAATTGCAGGTGAAGTTGCTGGTAGAACGAAAAAGAAAGAGAGATAGAGACAGAGAACAAAAAGTAGAAAATTATTAAATAGGATTGTGCTTGGTGTTTTGATCATAAAATTAACCATCGGGAAAACAGTGATGAACGGGACTAACTGATAGAAAAGTTCAATCTTCAAATTAGAGACCCAAGGAGAAGGGGTTGAAGATTTTCAATCGTAATTGGGAATCGGCGAATCAGAAAATCTGGTAGAAGAAGGGAGGAACTAGACCATTGGACTAAATTGGTAAAACATTGTGATTGCCCAAACGGACTAAATAAGAAGTAGAAGGCCGTAAGGATTGAGCTAAAACGTGGGTTAAAATCAATATATATATATATATATATATATATATACTTGGGATCATGTGAGACCAATAATTTTTCGTGAGACCCGTAAGACCAATTTTCAACCATTGGATTAGATCTACAATCATCATATCTGAACATTCATAAACGTCACGAGACTTCTCAATAATTACACAATTGTCACCGTGCAACTTTAGACCATTAGATCATATGCTTATAAAATTGATCAATGAACATAAATTGGTCTTACGGGTCTCACGAAAAACCTTTGGTCTTACGTGAACCCAACCCTATATATATATATATATATATATATATATAATTGGGTAAAGGCTAAAAAATATATATTTGTGCCCCAAAAAAGTTCGGAGGACCCAAAAAAATTTATACTCACCATCTATAAACTCATGAAAAAAATTGGTTGGTAAAGAAGGTTGGTTTGGACTCAATGCTACACAAGAATATTGTCAAAAACATTGATTGATCAGATGATACTCTGCAGGTAATATAAAAAAAATCCCATTCATTCCACTACAAAACGTAGAACTTTTACTTATGCCATGGATCTTCTGTTGATATTGTTTCAAGCATCGACAAAATCATAAGATGATGGATTATTCACATTTCATTTGATGGTCAGAGATGTTAAAGTTCAAAGTTTTTTTTTTTGAAGTATATAATATTTATATACGGCAAATAGAACAAATAAACCCACACAACCTCCTCACCTTTGGTGAAGTTTGAACCCTTGACCTCCTAGAAGGCCAATGACTCACATACCGCTAGGCCAAAGGCCTTTTGGTAAAAATGAGCAACATGTAGGAAAATGGGACAAAAATTTGGTGTGGAAAGGTTTGCACGTCACGTTACAAGGGTTGGAAGTCCTGTATTTAATTTATGCTTTGGGGAAGGGATTAAAGAGCAAGAACGAGAGTCTCAAGAGGCAGTCTCACTGTAATTGCATGGATCGGGTGTGAAATTGTGAAAGGTCCTGATGATTTGAGATGCTTAACTTGTGACATCTTGCTAAGTACAATTGAGCAATATGTGCATCCTTGAAAGGAACTTGAAGAAAGACTTTTAGCACGTTTGTGCATATATAACTACACTTTTTATTGTGTTAATTCAGTATATCCCTAAATTTGCTCGAATTGTGCCTTTGACTTCAGAACTGAAAAGGACAACTGGCGATTTTGCATAAACTTCTTGGGTTGGGGCAGCTTGTTATTTGTTGCTCTACATGCTTGCCAATCATGTATAAACTACCATTTACACTTTTCATGGATGTTACTGTTACCTATTTATTTTATCTGAATATACATGTCCTTGTGGCCCTTGCTTGATTTTCCATTTGAATGAACTTTTGGGAGTTTGTTTCTCTTTGTCAGTTATATTGCACATATACTGCTTGGTAACTGGGGAATGTGAAAAATGGATGGAGGGGTTGTGGGGGACAAAACTTCATCTGTTCATGTGGACAACTTCTGCTTGGAGAAGAAAAGTAGATGAGAACTGAGATAGGAAACAAAGGTTCTGACACGACTATATAGCTTCAATCTAATAAGTTGCTTTACCACTGGATTATGCTTTTTGTCATCCCTTTCCTTCAGTTTAGTTTTTTAAAAGTAGGAAATCGAATTATGGTTGCATTTAATTTTGTAATACTCGAGCATCTGTCTTCAAAGGACCAGAACGTCCCATAGACATAAATACAATTGTATGTGTGGATGAATTGATGAGAAACAGGAGAAGTAGATCTATCGAGATGCAGAAGTTTATTGATACATTCTTGTACCCCACTTGACATAACAAAGAATTAGGCAGTCTGATTATCATTGCTTAGGTGTTATAAATCCATAGAACTTGAGCTTCAGTTTTCTCATATCAAATGATTTTGCTGTTGGCATATAACTTCAACTTTCCCTCACACAACTGGTTTGGGGTAAATGTTTTGTTGATTTGCTATGACGTTCTTTTTTCCAGATGGTTGGGGTCTTCTGTGTAGAGCGTAATGATACATGCTGATAGAGAGCTTGTAAAAAGAGTAATCCGGATAATAAATTTTTTTTATTGTGGAAATGAATGAATGACAGGTTATGATAGTTGGAGTAGCAATAACAGTGAAGTTTTAAAAGTTGCTTGCTCTCCAGATGGTGATAATTCGCCATTTGATTTTGGGATATTCAAGCAGGCACTGTCATCAGACATTGTTTTATCTACAAAGTTCGTTTCAAAGTACTGCTACTACTGTTTGTGGTAGGGGCTGCAAAATTTGAGGTAATCGAATTTTAGACCATATAAATATTGGATAATCAACGACTAATGATTTATATATTATTTTTAATGTCAACACTTTAGGACAGGGGCTTGAAACCAACACTTATCCCGGAGAGACTATATTTTCAATTGCATTAGCCATATCCGGGCTCATTCTATTTGCCTTGTTGATTGGCAAAATGCAGGTTATGTCACAACTACTTTTCCATCAACTCCTAAACTTTAACTACCCTTTGTCATTGTCAATTTACCAACTTTCTCGCCCTGAAAGATGAGTCATTTGCACTTGACAGAAGAATAAAAAATGATCTTTTGTTTCACTGCAATTCACTATTATAATGTTATTTGCAGCCGTTGAAATTCATGTCCTTGCTGAATTTGCAACCTAACAACTCAGTAAATTCCACTAAAAGGTGTTGGGGGTTGGGAGGTGGGATGTACACAAACTTGTTCTCTACCCTAAAGGGTAGAGCGGTTGTTATTGTTTCCTGCAATTACTGCTTTCTGTGTAATTGGCAATCCAAGCACTGAAATTTGATTTGTCGTGCTATGACAAACATACCTTAAGTCTTTTACAATTCGTCTTGAAGAGATGAGAGTTAAGTGGCGCGACTCGGAGTAGTGGTTGCATCATCGGTTACCTCCAGATGATCTTCAGGAGCGTTTTAGACGTTATGATCAGTGCAAGTGGTTAGAAACCCATGGCATGGACGAGGAGAATTTGGTTCAAACGCTACCAAAGGATCTGAGAAGGGACATAAAGCGTCATTCTTTTCTTAGTTGTGTGTTCATGTTTTATGTATTCGTTTGGTACCTTGGATCTATGTTTAACCTTGATGTTGTACAATGTATTTATCTCAGTTGTCTTCATTTGTCAAGTAAAAGCATAATACCAAAGCGAATTGATTCCAGTACAAAACTAGATTGCATTGTACAATTAGGATATTGAACATTGAGGGATCTATATGCATTTTGTGATATATTATGGTTCTAATGAATATGTTGCATTTCAATGTGTAATTTATCTCATAACTCTACAAACTTTGATTATCTTTATGCATTTTTTAAGTATATAATATTTATATATAGGAAATAGAACAAATAAACTCACACACCTTCATCACCTTTGGTGAGGTTTGGACCCCTGACCTTCTAGGAGGCCAAAAACTCACATGCTGCTAGGCCAAAGACCCTTTAGTTTTATGCATATCTTTCTTAACAAATAGTAAGGATCAAAAGTCTTACTTATGAAGTGAGGGAAATGATTCTTACTCGGTAAGTGCTTTCATGATTTAAGACACTTATCAACAATCCTTTTTTTATGATTCACCTAGGGAGTGCTTACTGGTAAGCGTTTTATTAGAACGGTATTTATACTTCGCTAATGATTTGGTTCACTTTCACATACTTGAAGACATTTTTTTGCTTAAGATTTTTTGAACGATAAAATCTAAAATGTTTTGGGATTTTTGAGGTAGGCATTCATCTCGGTGAGTTTTTTAACATTTTATAATACAAAGAATCATACTAAAAAATAATACTAAAAACATCACAAAATTCATTAAAAATTAAGATATCGATCACACTAAGCAACTAATACTCTGATATCTAAAAATTCGGAATTAAATAATTAGACTCAACAAAATTAATCGGTTTAATTGATTAAAAATGCTTTTATGACATGTTATTCAAAGTTTTTAGCGTCTAACAATTTCAAATGTAAACGTTTATCGGTGTGTTTGCTTACATTTATCTATACTATATTATAAAGCATTTAACAAAAACTATTAAAAACCACTTTTTATGCGTAAAGTACTGTTTATTAATGCAGATTACTTAAAAATCAAGATTACAAGTAGATTGTGCGTAAGTACAACTTATTAACGCTTCATATCTGAATTCGTGTAACTAACTACAGATAAACATAATCAAATACAAGATAAACATCTCATTTTAAATATAAAAAATCTAAAATATAATTAAGATAATCATTAAGTTATAACAGAATATTTAATTATTATCTTTATAAAATGTTATAWTATTAAAMCAAAAATAAATTATTTCRTTATTAAACTTAAATTAAATTATAATAAAAAAATAAATTAAAGAAATTAGATAAAAAATAAGAACTTTTAAATAGTTGATTTGATATTAACATTGATATATTTTTTTCAAATTTATATTTTATTCAAAAATAAAATCATTATTTGTTTTCTTAAAAACACATAAAATTGTATTATAACATCGACAGAGATAAATAATAAAATAAAACATTAAAACCGAGATATGTCTCACTGCATTACACGGATACTCTTCTAATTTAAAATTTATATCTGGCTGCATTACGTGGATAGAAAACTTGCATTGAATTACAGTAACAAAATATACGATTATTGAAAATATTTTTATTCATTTTATCCGAATTTGGTTTTGTCTTTTTTAGCGATCACCAAAGCATGAAGGGACAACGAAAGCAAAGAGTTGAATGGTCCACAAATCTTCTTCAACCTCCATGCCCTCTCTCCCTCTAAAAATAATCGTAATCCTGATCCATACCCACACCAGATTTGCCATATCTTTCCTAATTCAGTAGCAGCGTATGTGTAAAGATTTCTTCCATCGTTTTCAAAGTTTTTGTTGATTTCAATTTCAAGAATTTATAGGGCATGGCAGCTGTGGAAACGCTACGACCGATAATTCATGGTCAAATCCATGCAAACTATTCCAATTACCATCCTAAATATTCATACAGGTACACTTCTTTCCGCGATAGATTTCGTGTTCTACATGAGAATTCGAATCTTTTGGTTATCAAATCGTCGTTATCGGTTCGCCCACTCACCAATTTGTACAGAGAATCTAGGGTTTCCAACTCGTTAAATTCTTGGGGAGGAGGGTTAGGGTTTCTCAAGGTGAACCAAAGTTGTAGAGGCAGGAATAAAGTGGGTGTAAATAATAGTTCATGCGAACATGATACAGAATCCTCGGGGGAGAAGAGTGAGAGTGAGAGCAATAAAGTGAGTAAGAAGAGAGACAAGGGGGAGAAGAAGGGGAAGGGAGGTTGGGGGTGGGGAAAAGGCGGTGGGAAATGGAGGTGGCAACCCATAATTCAGGCCCAAGAGATTGGTGTTTTGTTGTTGCAATTAGGGATAGTTATGTTTGTCATGAGGTTGCTTAGGCCAGGCCTTCCATTGCCGGGGTCGGAACCTAGGGTTCCGACCATGTTCGTGAGCGTGCCTTACAGTGATTTCTTGAATAAAGTGGGCACTAATCAGGTGCAAAAGGTGGAGGTTGATGGGGTTCATATAATGTTTAAGCTGAAGCAAGAGCAGGGTACTCCAGAAAGTGAAATTAATAGTGGTAGTAGTAGTACTATAAGTAAAATGCAGGATTCGGAGTTGTTATTGAGGACTGTGGCACCTACAAAGAGGATTGTTTACACAACGACCCGGCCTAATGATATTAAGACTCCTTATGAGAAAATGCTTGAAAACGACGTGGAATTTGGATCTCCTGATAAGAGGTCTGGTGGGTTCTTGAACTCTGCGTTGGTAAGTTCTTCTGTGGAGTTGATTTTATGCAGCTATGCACATTTATTTACCGGAAGTCACTATCATGTTGTGTCTTCATGATAACAAGGTGATGCTTGCGGCTGTTTTTACACCAATGTTTGATTATATTATATGGAAATACTACATTGCCCTTAAGTGTTGCGGACGCATTATCTTACTAATATCATGGCAATACCTTTATATTAGTTGTGGACGGGATTTTGTGTGTGAAAACTTTAGATGAAGCTTTTGTGTGTGGTAGTTCTGGTGGGAAGGGAAGTAACCTTGGAAAATGATAGTCATCACATTTGCACAATTACCAGTTTTATGTCTCTTATATATTATGTAAGCATAGTTCAGTGGTATCACATGCTATCACAAATTGATGGGGGAGCATTTGAATTCACTAATATAAATGTAATTAATTTGTTAGAAATGACATGCCGCTATGTACAACTTCTTAGGATATAAACACCCCCTACCAGTGCAACTTCTATCGAAAAGCCATGCATTGAACGTGATTATTGCTTGCTCTTTTGAAGATGCTAATTTGCGATCATGAATTGCAACACTAACCATGTGTTGCTATTGTAAATGTATAAACCGAACCAAATGAAGCCCACGAATCCCACATGAAGTGGGGTCAGGGTAGGGTAAGATACACATGGCCTTTCCTCTACCTTGAGGGATAAATAGGTTGTTTCCATCGAAGACCCCAACTTCTGAAATGTATCACTTAGCTAAAACATTTTTTTTGTAGGATCAACAATAGAATATCAACTCATGTTTCGTTGAGAATGGACACCCTCTTCTCCTGATTCTATGACTTTCCTTGGCTATAATGTGATTGTTGATCCAAGGGATTGGTTTCTTAGCATGGACTATTCACCTTTTAGCACGTGTTGATTTCCTTCCCATCTGAATGATAAAAAACATAGGAAAGGGACAATAGAGAAAATCCACTTCTTCATGTTACTCTTGGCAGTGACTTGTTCATGGTACAAGTCTCGTGATAGACCCAAACGTGTACAATCGTATTAATGGCAAAACTGGACTGATTACAATGAAAAATTAGATGGGAATTTGAGAGCCCATTTCTGTTCTACACGATCAAAAGATCACACAAAAACTGAATGAAATCCTATGCCAAAACCATGCACGTGCCATATACCATTCTCCTTGCCTTCTTTATTATATTTCCAAAATTACCCCCTCAACTTTACTCTTTATTTATCTTTGGACCCCTCCTCGGATATACTTTCGTAATTGGAGGCTTATCTATACTCTGCTCTCAATTACTCACCTTGTCCTCGAGGTGGAATATTGGAACCTGCTTACACATATCCGTGTACGACTCCCATGTGTCTTCAAACTTTGGCAATCCCCCCAACCAAGAAGGACTTCGATGTCATTATTGTTATGATATCGAATACCTTTCAGAGTTTTTGGTTCTATTGGCAGCTCTCAATTATCTTTAAGTGCTGCAGGGAGATGTGTATGTGTTCCATGATCGCCAACAACTTTTTTCAGTTGAGACACATGAAAAACAGGGTGGCTACTCCCCTCGGGAAACTGTAAACAGTAAGCCACCTTGCCAATAAAAGGCCTATAAAAATGAGGGGCTAATTTAACATTTTGGTGTGTGGCCAAAGACGTTTGTCGATATGGTCATGTCTTTAAAAATACCCATTGTCCAACCGACAACTCCACATTCCTTCGATGTTTATCCGCCGATGCTCGCATTCTTTGTTGAGCTCGGAGTAAATGGGTACATAGCTCCGACAACATTCTATCTCTTTCTAGCAGCATCTGATCCACATTAGAATTAGAGACCTTCATATCCGCCTACAGGGTTATTTTGGGAGGATCTCGACCATACAATTTCTTGAATGGGGTGGTGTGGGAGGACGTATGGAACGAGGTATTGTAGGAGTATTCAGCCCATGGCAGCCAAATAACCCACTTTCGTGGCTATGCTCCGGCGAAACAACGTAAGTGAGCCTCAATTCCCGGTTTACCACTTCAGTTTTTCCCATCACTCTGAGGGTGGTAAGCCGTGCTAAATCTGAGTTTAGTTCCCTATAATTGCCAAAGTTCCTGCCAAAAATGGCTAAGGAAGACTTTATCTCGGTCCGAGACTATAGACCTTGGCACCCCATGAAGATGCACGATCTCCTTCACAAAAATGCCTGCTACTTTAGGTGCTGTGAAGGGGTGTTTAAGAGCTATATAGTGGCTGAATTTACTCAGCCGATCAACCACCACTAATAGAGAGTTAAAGCCCTCGAAAATGGGTAATCATTCTACGAGATCCATGGATAAATCTTCCCAAACCCGCTGTGGAACATCCAAAGGCTGTAGTAAACCGGCCGGCGTCAATGTCGAACTTTTATTACGTTGACAAGTCACACACGCGGCTACATAGTTCTGGACAGCCAACCTCATTCCTTCCCACCAAAATTCGGCTAGGACCCCCGCATGACTCCCAATGGCTCCATCATGGAATTCCATAAGTAACTGGGTAATGATAGGAGATTTGATGGGGATTACGAGCTTACCATGCTGGAGTAACAAATTGTCTCGCAACTAAAATGGGCCTGGGGAAGCCGGATCAAGTTGTAAAGCATCAATGCAGGCTTTACACTTAGGGTCTTGGTTTATTTGTTCAATCAATCGAGTGATGTCCCATCCCTGAAAAGTAAGTAATTCCATTAAGGTTGGGTCATGGGGTCTTCTAGATAAAGCATCTGCAACCGCATTATCTTTTCCCGGTTTGAACTGGATCAAGAAATCAAACCCAATCAGTTTGATTAGCCATTTCTAATACTCTGTAGTCACCTCCCTCTGTTCTAACAAGTATTTAAGACTATGTTGATCCGTCTTAACAATGAAGTGCCTTCCCAAAATATAATGTTTCCACTTTTTGACAGCCAACACGATAGCCATCAATTCGCGCTCATAGATGGACTTAAACTTTCCTCCAGTTGGTAAAGCTTGACTGAAGTAAGCTATTGGCCTTTGCTACTGCATCAAAACAGCCCCCACACTCGTACCAGAAGAATCCGTTTCTACAATGAATTCTTTATTGAAATCCGGTAAGGCTAACACCGGCAAGCCCATCATAGCAGCCTTTAATTGTTGAAAAGCTGTTTCGGACTCCCCATTCAAAAATCTTGGTCAATGTAAATGTTTATGTTACACTCATCTTGCATTTGTGCTACTTGAGGCCTAAGAATCTACCTGTAAGTCGCAGTAGGTTGTATGTTTTCTTGTGAAACCTACATTTTAGCTTAGAACATGGCTTTTCAATCACACAAAACACTAGGGATGTCATTCCATCCACTCTTCCTTTACCTAAAAATTAATTTCTGAATCAGGGAAGATACATCTTAACTACTACTCCCTCCATCCCAAAATAAGTGTCCGCATTTATGTTTCAGTTTGTCCCAAAATAAGCGCCCACTTTCAAAATCTCAAAGGAAGTGTTCACAACCAGTGAGTTGTAAACTACTGTAGAACTTAAGATTTTTTCTCCTTATCTAATCTTGGAGATAGTAGGAAAGAAAGCCAACAAGCGTTACTCCAAGACCTTTTTGTCTTTTTGAACAATTGAAGTTGACATAAAAAATTTGACAAAATTTGAAATGGGTCTAATACCTCCCTTGAACAAAAAGAATAATGAACAAAAAGCGAGTGAAAAAAACTTGCACCAAGAGTAATGGACCCATCGCAAAGTTATCTGGTTTATATGTTACCTTCCATTATTCAAGCAAGGGGGTGCCGGAGTAAAGTTTGTTGGTTTTCTCTGTGTTTATGTCGTTAATCTTGCTACCATTTGGAAAACCTTCTGTGAAATCTTTCACAGCCACTGCTCTTTCTACCTACATACTGAACATTAAGATATATAATTTCACTAATCATCCTGAACTGGTTCTTGTAGGTTTTCTCAAAGTTATGTCTTTATTAATTCTACCAGTTTGTCTTCTACTCTATACTAATCACTCCTAGAATCTCATCTGTTAGTTAACTGGTTGATTTTAGCTCCTTGGCTTCTCTGTTAATGATCCTACATTCTCCTACCTGGTCTTATCCTACACGTTTGAACTAAATTTATTGCCTCATGCACTATTGCTCTCTTCTAACAACACTTGTGGGGTGAGGTGGTGCTTCACTAAGAGAATACAACCCATCTTTTGTTTACTTCCATAAACAAGTCCATGCGGGCTCTATAATCTTTACATAGGCGTGACTCTCATTTAAGGGCTAAGGGAACCCCCCTACAAAATTTGATTTTCATAGATGTGACTTGCATGTAACTCAAATCATCTCAGCGATTAATCTAGATTAGGGAAATGGCTGATGTCATAATCAACAATTATCAGTAAGAGTAGGAAGCAGACCACTGATGGTGTGTTTATTTGGTTAAAGGTTTCCTCATTGGATTGATGGCAACATCAATGTCAGAACTTTTATTGCCAACTCATTGCTTTGGGGTAATTGAAGATACTAATATGGAACTACTTACTAGCATTGATGGTGAAAAACAAAAGGAGTTGGTAATCCTTCAAATTTTGTGAAATATCTGGTTGTACCTTTTGCAAATAATGCCGGCCTCCATTGCCGATTTCTTATTGCTAACTATATGGCATTGAGATGCAATTTTTACTTGCCCATAATGTATGTTTTGGTCAGTTGTCTGTTATATCTAATTTCAAATGTTTTACTCTATTTTTGCAGATAGCATTGTTTTATGTTGCTGTGTTAGCAGGGCTACTTCACCGTTTCCCTGTAAACTTTTCTCAGGTATTAGACGGCTTTTGACATTCAATTATTTTGCTTCTTTTAGTGAGGGATTGATTGATTAATTGATTGCATATCCAGCATACTGCTGGTCAGCTTAGAAACCGCAAGTCCGGTGGTTCAGGTGGGTCAAAAGTTTCTGAACAAGGGGAAGCCATCACATTTTCTGATGTTGCTGGTGTTGATGAGGCGAAGGAGGAGCTTGAGGAAATTGTAGTAAGTTCACGGCCTTTAGTTATAAACATTACAGCTTTATGTGGCTTTTCAAGTGTTCCTTCTAATTCGCTAGTCTTTTGTATGGCAATCAACTCAATTCAGGAATTTCTCAGAAACCCGGAAAGATATATAAGGCTTGGTGCTCGTCCTCCACGCGGTGTTCTCCTGGTGAGTTCAAAATGCTTAGCAAGATAGTATGAATACTTATATATATATATATATATATATATATTCAGAAGTGAATAAATAATTTATTTTGTCTAGACGAAATGTCATATGCCTTGTGTAACTTATGTATGATTATCTTCCCAACTTCCATTCGGGAGTAACTATGACATATGAGAAGGTTTTGGATATACTGTTCAACATAATTTCCTATGTTAAGCACGGCATATACATTCACCATTGTCAGATCTGGTTAGCACAGGGCAAGGGCATATTTAAGGAGTGAGGGGGTTCCCGTGCTACCGCTCTATTGTCTTATTTTATGTTATTTTGTTCCCCGGCTTGGAAATTTTTCTGGACCCACCTCTGGGTTAGCTTGTGCACATTGGCTGGATATTCTGCTCAAAACCATTAATCCAGTTAGAGATTTTGGTATATTGTGTTTAAACGAGTGTTTGATTTGTGAAATGGCTTTGGGTATCTTACAGGTTGGTCTTCCTGGGACAGGTAAGACGCTTTTGGCAAAGGCTGTAGCTGGGGAAGCTGAAGTACCGTTCATTAGTTGTTCTGCAAGTGAGTTTGTAGAACTTTACGTAGGCATGGGAGCATCACGAGTACGAGATCTCTTTGCAAGGGCAAAGAAGGAGGCACCATCAATCATATTTATAGACGAGGTTGGAATATTATGTTCAAAGTCCCGAGCTAGTCTTCTGGCTATATAAGATGCTTAGTTATATTACTCTAATTTGCTTTTCTTCTTTGCAGATTGATGCTGTGGCCAAGAGCCGTGATGGTAAATTCCGCATTGTCAGCAATGATGAGCGAGAACAGACTTTGAACCAGCTGCTCACTGTAATATTTCACAAATTACTTCTTTTTTAAGTGTATGGTATATTCTTCTAATGCTTTACTTACACATGTGTTTTAAACCATCTTGCAGGAGATGGATGGTTTCGACAGTAATTCTGCTGTAATCGTTCTTGGAGCAACCAACCGTGCTGATGTTTTAGATCCGGCCCTTCGACGACCTGGGAGATTTGATCGTGTGGTTATGGTTTGTCTTCTTCTCCCTTTTGGTATTTACCTCTCTAATAGTTTGCTTTTTCTGTTTTCAACCCCAAAATGGCAATTCACATAGATTTGGTTGCTTTCTTTCTTCTTGAAAATGGTCATCTGTTTTTCAGGTAGAAACACCTGATAGGGTTGGCAGAAATGCTATTTTGAACGTGCATGTTTCTAAGAAAGAGCTCCCTTTGGGAGAGGATGTTGATCTTGCTAACATCGCTTCCATGACCACTGGTTTCACTGGGTAATCAACTATTTGTTTATTGAAACCAATCTTTACTTGTAAATGCCTATTTATTTGTCAGTAATTGAACGATGATCCTTTGATTGGGCTTGCAGGGCAGACCTTGCAAATTTGGTAAATGAAGCAGCTTTGTTGGCAGGAAGACAAAATAAAGTAGTGGTGGAGAAAATGGACTTCATCCAAGCAGTAGAGCGTTCAATTGCTGTAATTCTCTTCTATTTCTTCCCAGAAGACAGTATTTCGTTAATACATGACACTGCATGTGTTTGTTTGCAAAGTCTTCATGGAAACAGTTGTTCTACTCTCTGGAGTAGAGGACCCCTGACCCCACCTCCGGGTGGGATATTCTGGGCTCGTTGGGTTTGGTATGCATTTGTCTGCAAATGTCACAGGTTAACTAGATTTTATCTACTTTATATGGTACATTTAGATCGAGATTTTAGGGTATAATATGCATGAGTTGAATGCTCTTTTATGTTGGAACATTCCTTTATGTCTTATGCACTCTGCTTTTTGTTTGTGATAACATGACAGGGGATTGAAAAGAAAACGGCAAAGTTGCAAGGTACAGAGAAAGCAGTGGTTGCTCGTCATGAAGCTGGTCATGCAGTAGTTGGCACCGCTGTTTCCAAACTTCTTTCAGGACAACCGAGGGTCGAGGTAACAGATCTTGAGTAAACTCCTGCCTTCTGTAGTGGCATTTTCTAAGCATAAAACTGTTCAGAAATGTCGTTGCGTAGCAAGCACACACACAAAAGCTATATGAACGTGTATGAATTTCAACAAGAGTCCCTGCGGCTTTAGCTTAGTGGGTAAGGAGGTGGGGATACTTGCAAAATTGAGTGGGAGGTCTGGGGTTGTACTCCAGGCACCACCTCCTCATGAGGGTGTGTTTGGTACATGAACGGAACTGGACGGACGGGCGAGAGTGAGGTAGTCGAGTGAGAATTATTGGAGGTTTAGGGGTTTTAATTTGGCATTGGGTAGTTTAGTAATTTATCAATCTTCTCCAGTCTCCCGTACTTTTGTTCCACCTATTTTGGTGGGACATGAAAAATGCATTTTTGTCCCACTCAGTTCGTCTTGTCTCAGTTGCATCAAATATGGGACAAATACTTCCTGTCCCGCGTCTTAAAGGTACCCGATGGCCATGGGACCAGTGTGGTGGGCTCTCCAGAGGGTGACGTCATACCCTTCTTGCATAAAGTTCAACAAGAAAATTTTGCTGCGACAAGATCGATAATATAGTAGTATACCATGATAAATGACAAGAATTCCTGTTTTGTTTTCCATCAGAAGCTAAGCATACTGCCAAGGTCAGGAGGAGCATTGGGATTTACTTACACTCCTCCAACCACCGAGGATAGATATTTGCTTTTCGTGGATGAACTAAGAGGACGTTTGGTTACCCTTCTTGGAGGACGTGCCGCCGAAGAAATTATTTACTCGGGTCGTGTGTCAACAGGTGCACTTGATGACATACGTCGAGCTACAGACATGGCATATAAGGCTATTGCTGAATATGGTCTCAATCGCACCATAGGCCCAATCTCATTGGCAACACTTTCTAATGGTGGCATGGATGATTCTGGAGGATCTATGGGTTTCGGAAGGGATCAGGTTTTTTTTTTCTTTGGTTTTTTTGGTAATTTTAGTTTTTTTTATGAATAAAAGTTGATGATGAACATTTTGCATATGATATAGGGGCATCTAGTGGATCTTGTTCAAAGAGAAGTTAAGTTGATGCTTCAATCGGCACTAGACGTGGCACTTTCCGTCATGCGTGCTAATCCCACTGTTTTGGAGGGGCTTGGTGCTTATCTTGAAGGTAACGAGACAATATTAGTAAACTAAAACCCTAAAACCTCTATAATTCTTTCACCCTCCCATCACGTCCTATCCAATCCCATCTGCTTACCAACCACCCTTAGGGTGTGTTTGGTATTAAAACAGGACATGACATGACAGAACAACTAATCAACATTTGGTAAGACAGAATTGGACATGACAAAATAGATAAAATGATTAATTTACCCCTAACGAGTTGTTTATATATTTTGATTAATTTATATATTTTATTAAATTATAATAAAATAAATATTTTTTATAACAAAATGTATCATTAGTGAAAGTTTAAAGAATATAAAATACAATGGATAAAATTTAAATAATGAATAAAATGTAAAGAAGGAGGAGTATCTGATGTTTTAGAAAAGAATTAGGTTTTACTTTGAGGACCTATTGGTAAAATATAGGCCTGTTCCATGAATTGGGGTTGGAACACGCTTGTTCCACTTTGTTCCACATGAAGTCTTGTCAAACATAAAAAAGTGATCCCTGGTCTGGTGTGTCCTATCTTTTTACAGTGTATCAAACGCACCCTTATGTCAGGTTTGTGTACCTACGGATGAAATATACCAGGCCTGTTTGGTTTTCTTTACCGTAAAAATTCATGGTTGTTTATTTTAATTGTGAATTTGCAGAAAAGGAGAAAGTGGAAGGAGAAGAGTTGCAAGAATGGTTGAAGTTGGTGGTTGCACCGGAGGAACTTGCTGATTTTGTTAGAGGCACAACGGCGGAGACGTTTCTGCCATTACAGTCGGCGTCACCTGAACTAAAGCAACTACTGTAACACACAGTGACCATCCTCCATCTGCAATGCAACTTTGTATATTACAACACCCAGTTAATTAATTAGATCTATATATATATATATATATATATACATATATATGTATGTATGTTGAGTAGTAGTTGCAGAAATTGGGGTTGGAACTATATATATAAATTTCTTTTGATTCCATTTTTAGCCAATCCCAACTAGTTTGGGATAAAAAGAAAGGCTGTTGTTTTATGTATACAACACAGCATTTGTAATTTTCTGCTACTTTTAACATTAAAATCTAAAGCTTTCACTTCACTGAACTGTCTGTCTACTAACATCAAGATTCTTAATAATACTTTTCAGGTATTGATGTATGCATCCTTTTAATTGTCTGAATGAGTCCAGAAATTGAAAAATAGGTATTGATGTTGAGGTTTGTGAGCAGGAAATTAATAGGTAGGGGTGCATTTAGCAATATATAAGGGTGTATTTAACGTATTCCAAATTTTTATGCCATGAGGTATATTACAGTTACGACAGGTGTTGCTGTTTGAACCCTTGGTTAATTAAAGCTTTGAATATATAGAAATAGATGTAAACAAAATATAGAACCCGCTAAAATGGGTCCTGGGCCCGGGATCCTCGGTAGACTCAAACCGGGGCCGGGGGCTGTTACTCAAACCGGGATGGGGCCGGGGATTCCTGATAGATTCAAACTAACGGATATTTTCATGGGGTTTCACTGGGGACGGAGTGTTAATCCCCGTACCCGCCGAGGGCTGTTACTAAAAACCAGGGCCGGGGCCATGGACTACAAAACCTGCCTCGTTGTCATGCCTATATATTACTTAAAACTCAATATTTATGTTTTATCTGCAGTTAGTTACACGAATTTAAACATGAAATTTTAATAAGTTATACTTACGCACAATTTACTTGTAATCTTTAATTTTAAGTAATATGATAAAATAATATTTCATGCCTAAAAAAATATTTTTAAGAGTTTTTGTCAAATGCTTTATAATATAGTATAAGTTATATTATTAAATAAAAATAAGTTACTTGATTATTAAACCTAAATTAAATTATAATAAAAAATTAAATTAAAGAAATTACAAAAAAACAAGAACTTTTATATATTAATTTGACACTAATGTCGATATATATTTTTCAAAATTTTATGATATTTTCAGACTTATACTTTATTCAAAAATAAAAAAAACATTATCCCTTTCTCAAAACGTATATAACTGTATTATAACATCCATAGTGATAAAAAATAAAACAAAACACTAAAATCAAGATGTATCTCGTTACATTGCATGAGTACCATTTTAGTGATGAGCAACCCTCCGACCCCATTAGGGTTGATCTATATTTAAGCAACAGATCACAATTTTAAATACTCAACTGCTTTTGTAGTTTTGTATAACTATTTGAGTATAATTTTAATTTCTTAACTATGGATGTCTAAAACAATTTATATGTTTCTCGACTATTCTTAGGAGTCCTCAAGAGTAGTAAGAAAATCCAATGACCTTGTAGAATTTAAGCTGGTGAGTGAAAATCCTCATAAACCCAAACCTCATCATCAGTTAAGCCAACTCACGAAATCTGGATACAAATTTGATTATTGTTAATAACAAACAATTGGAAATTACATGTAAGCAATACAGTAAATGACGTCATCTTAACGGTATTTTTGAAATAAAGAGGGTGTTTGGGATTTGCTTATTTGAAGCAACTTATGCTTTTCTACAAAAATCCTTATTAACTTATTATAAGTTAGAATAGTTTAACTTCTTTAAAAACTCCTTATTACCAAACCGATATAAGTTGTTTATCCAAACACTTAAAAATATTTATTACCGATATTATACCAAAATAAGTTGTTTTTATAAGCAATCCTAAAACATCTCATATGTAATTAATAGTTGGATGCCATAAATAGTAAAGAGTCAAACGAAAAGTAAAAATCAACGTGCGGAATGCGGATAAGTTTTAGGATAATATTAATAGGAACTCTTCAAATCTTTCTTGCGTCTCTTTCGTAAAAAACATATCCAAGTTCCAAATTTGCCCTTACACTATTCATTGACTTGCATATTCAGTCCTCTAACTTACGTACTTTTTGCATTTTTGCTTCAAAGTTGTCAAACGAGCTTAACGGGGCCGGTGGAAGATGTTAAAAAGATACCCGAAGGTTTTAAGGATATTTTCGTCATTTTTACCATCTTCGCTTACAACCCTTTTTTTAAAGTGTCGATATCATCTACTCCTTCTAATACCGTATTTACTATAAATTTTTATATGTCGTTATGTTGATTTAATGGTTTTCACCAACATTGTTAGACTTGTGTACTAAAACGAGATAAAATTGAGTATTTTTGAGTAAAAGTTATAATAAAAGATCTTGATGTACTAAACCTGTAAGTTAAGTAATAGTAGAAGGACTATAGTTACTCCTAATATTTAATGTAAACAAGTATATTTACGAAAATAGCCTCCATGCATTGATGCATGTTTCATCTGCAACAGAAACGTAGAGCTATTTAAGGATCGAGCTTAACTATTTCAGATAAAATCATGAGAAGAAACTTTCCAGCTAAGATCTATAAATAAGCATTCTCAAAACAAACCACATCTCTCTCACCCTTTCTCTCTCTCACCATGCCTGCCCAAGTAATGGCTGTAAGCGGCGGTGCCGCCCAAGACTTACCGGCGAGGCTCACCGGACAAGTCATTATTTGCACAATCATCGCCGCCTTCGGTGGCCTCATGTTTGGTTACGATATCGGCATTTCAGGTGATTTTTCGCTCTTCACATCCCTTTTTTAACCTACACTCCGACGTCGCTTGTCTGTACCTCATTAGTCGCCGGAATTCATTGTTTCGATTCATTTTCGTTGACTGTGGTCTAGATTTTTTTAGATTTTGTCGAGTTTTAATCTTAATTAGGGTTATTATTTAGATGATTATAGATCTCAGATCCAGTTATAATTTGTGGTTTTAATTTCGTGGTAATTGATGATGATTTTCGTTTGTTTTGTTGATTGTCAATTAATGTAGGAGGAGTAACATCGATGGATGTGTTCTTAAAGAAGTTTTTTCCGGGGGTTTACGTGAAAAAGCATCACGCGAAAGAAGATAACTACTGCAAATTCGACGATCAGTATCTCCAGCTCTTCACATCTTCTCTGTATCTTGCTGCGGTGGTTAGTAGCTTTTTTGCATCCAAATGTTGTACGAAATTTGGGCGGAGAATCACGATACAACTGGCGTCTTTGAACTTTTTGACCGGTGTAGTTCTCAACGCCTGCGCCATGAACATCTCCATGCTCATCATCGGAAGGCTTTTTCTCGGTTTCGGTATCGGATTCGGTAACCAGGTAATTAATTAATCAATCGAACCCTAACTCCTCCATTGATGCATTAATTAGTTCTTTTATCCAAGCAGGATTAATAATCTTCTGCGATATGAGACCAAATACTTGTTACAACGCTAAACAGGGCTAATTATGACGTTGACAGATTTCTGATGTTTTTTAATTGTTTTCTAATTGTCATTTAGGATTTTTAATCAAGAAAGCGTGTTGGTTGAAAGTAAGATTTTTCAATAGGAAATTAGTTTTTGGTACTTGCTAATGTCGAAGTTAGTAATTTTTGCTTATGTGACAATGAATAGTATTAGAAGTAGTGAAATAGAACATGAAACCGTAATCACTGTCTTTGTAGCTCCAAAATGTTACAGGAGAAGAAATAAAACGAAAAGATATGGTAGAGCTTTTCATACAAGGCCATTGAACCGGCCCAACTAGCAACATAATTTGAATGTTTCAACGGAAGAAATAAAACAAAAGATACGGTAGAGCTATTCATACAGGGCCATTGAATCAGCCCAACCAACAACCAGCGTATAATTTCTTAATAAGAAATTGGTGTACGCCACAATCATGCTTTTTAATGTTTTGTGAAGTACATTTATAAAAATGTATGAATAATTCATTGAATGAGATTTTGGTTATAAAATGAATACTAAATGACATTGAACCTTTACAGAAAAACACAGTGAAACATGAAAGCTTTTGCTTGTATGTGTTTTTGTGTATTCACATCTTGTCTCACAAAAACCCAATCTAATGCATATAAATGGGATCTTGAAGGGTATTATGCATGCAAACTTTGTTTTAAAAGTGGTAGTTCCGGACTAACTTAGGGGCCGTTTACTAAACACTTACCCAGTAAGCACTTATCGGTAAAATTCAATACTATTATTTACTTACTGGGTAAGATTTTAGTCAACAAAACGGCTTTTTATGTGACAATTTACCCAGTATTAGCTAACCGTGGTTACAATCATTCCTCTCACTTACCGGGTAAGTCTCTCAGTCCTCAACTCTTTCTTACCGGATAAAATTTTTGGTCCCTACCATATTCATCCGATAAGGTTATGAACCTGAGTAGACTCCAAATATATAGGAAGAACCCCTAAAAGGTCTGCCTTTATTTTTTCTGTTGAGTTAGCTCCACAACATTTAAGCATGTTTTGGCTTTCCATTTTTAGCAACATGCTAGTATTGACATTCTTGTTTTGGATTAATACTATAGAAGTACAACTATTTATACGTAGAGTACAATGTGCAGGCTGTGCCATTATTCATATCAGAGATTGCGCCAGTAAAGTACCGAGGGGGGCTCAACGTCTGCTTCCAAATGCTGGTCACGGTTGGAATCCTATGTGCAAACGTGATCAACTATTTCACGGCGAGTCACCCATGGGGCTGGAGGATTTCTTTAGGTGGTGCAGCCGTCCCGGCTCTTTTTCTCGCACTCGGGTCCCTAATAATTGTCGAAACACCCACAAGCCTGATCGAGCGTGGACAGGCAGAAAAAGGGTACGCAACTCTCCAAAAGATTCGTGGGGTCCGTGATGTGCAAAAAGAATACGATGAAATCGCATACGCAACCGAATTATCGAAACAGATCAAACACCCGTTTAAGAACCTCTTGAAGCGATCAAGCCGGCCTCAGGTCGTCTGTAGCATGATCCTTCAAGTTTTCCAACAGTTTACGGGAATCAACGTGATCATGTTTTACGCACCCGTATTGTTTCAAACAATGGGGTTTGGAAGCGACGCTTCGCTATTATCAGCTGTCGTGACCGGGAGCGTTAATTCGTTAGCTACATTGGTAGCGGTTTTCGGAGTCGATAAGCTTGGAAGAAGACTTTTGCTTATTGAAGCTGCCATTCAAATGCTTATTGCTCAGGTACGCGTAGAAACAATGGAAATAAAGTCGAACCTTATTTTGTAATATTTTTATGTTACCTCTTAATAGTTCTATTAAGAGTCAACCTTTGAATCGTTAAGAGGTAAATCTTGTTTGGCAAAAAAAAATTTCTCTCTTAATAGTTTTAAAACCCTCTGAATGATTCATTAAGAGTCTTAATTTCATTGTACACAATTAGTAAACAATTATATTTCATTTTAACTATACCATGAGAGTCTCTTGATCATTCAGACCACTTAATCATTTTGCACCAGACCAGCAATTACAAAAAAGTTCCTTAATGTTATTGTTTAATTTTGCAGGTGATTACGGGGGTAATCTTGCTTTTGTACTTGAAATCGACCAACGAGTTACCGAAGAAATATGCTTACGTGGTGCTTTTCTTGATATGCTTTTTCGTGTCGGGATTCGCATGGTCGTGGGGCCCACTCGGATGGCTGATCCCCAGTGAGATATTTCCGTTGGAGATCAGAACGTCGGGTTTCTTCTGCGCCGTGAGCATGAACATGATCTTCACCTTCATAATCGCTCAAGCTTTTCTGACGATGCTGTGCCATATGCGTGCGGGGATCTTCTTCTTCTTCTCCGTATGGATCGTGATCATGGGGATTTACGCCTACTCGTTCTTGCCGGAAACAAAAGGGATTCCGATCGACGAAATGAACGAGAAAGCATGGAAGAAGCATTGGTTTTGGAAGAGATACTTCAGCCAAGAACGTGATCAAATCCCCGACAAGGCTTGATGTCTTAGGGAAAACAAGACATGGGTTTTTAGGTTATGTTTAATTCTAGTATTAATTCTTTTCGATTTGTTTTCAGTTAAAATTAAGACTTAATTGGATGTAATGTTGTTCTAGCCTAAAATTCTATTTATTTATGGTTAGTTATTTATCGTTCAAAACTACGAAATCATCGATCTATCTATATCTATATATCTATACATCGATCCGGCTGTAAACGAAAACGAACGGAGGCTTATTCATGTTCGTTCGTTTAACTTAACCGAACAAACGAACGGTAAACGAACGAAAATCTTTGTGTTCGTGTTCGTTCGTTTAGAAATCAGGTGTGTTCGTGTTCGTTTATGTTTGTTCGTTAACATGCTAAACGAACAAAAAAATTTGTTCATGTCCGTTCATTTATTAAATAAACGAACTTCCCGCCGAACGGTTCGTTGAACGTTCGGTTCATTTCCGGCCCCATCTATACTATATTATAAAGCATTTGATAAATGCTCTTAAAAACCATATAATGCCTTTCATTTTCCATAAAATGATTAAAAGCTGTTTTTTTCAAACATTACTAAATGGAAGACTTTTACCTACAAATGTTTTTCTTAGGAAATCTGTCGTTAAAGGGTGGTTCATTATAAAACCATCAAAAAAGTTGATGGGTAATTAATTTACATTAGTGACATATTGCCCAGGTAATTTTGAGTAATCAGTTGGTATTTTCGTGAAATACGTCGATTCAACTGGAATCATTGGTATTTTCCGGGTGATTCGTCAGTGATCACCTACGAAAATTTCCCTAGGTGATTATTATGGGTAAAAATCATTTGTTTTTTGTAGTGAAACCATGAAAAACAGTCTCAGGCCGATCAAAAAAAAAATGGAACAGATGGAATGAAAAAATAACAGTTCAATCGGACTTGTCTAGAGTCGAAGTGGTGACAATACTGGCGACTAATGTTACTCTTCGTGCAATCGTAGGTTTGGGAGAAAGGGTTTCGAGGAGGGTTTTTGGCCAAAGTTGCAAACGACTACGTTACAACAAATGTAAGGAAATTACGAAAATATCTCATAACTATGCAAAACTATGTAAGAACACCGCATTTGCATGATAAATCAAATATTTTAATTGAATATATGTAGAGGATAGATCGATATATTATGAGTTGTGACAAAAGAATTCTTATTATACACCTCATGTTTATAATCATTAGTCTCACACATTTCTTTTATCATTTTTAGCCAATTACAAAATTTGATGATGTAGAACTTATTAATTAATTATATGTATCAAAAGAAATAATCGAGGATGATGAAACAGGTTCATATTAGTTTAATATATGATATGTGATTATCGTCCATTTAACTTCAATATTTTCAAAAAAAAAAACTACCGTTCCCATGCAACGCACGGTGTTGAACACTAGTATATAATAAAGGAACAATTAAATGATAATGAGGTGACTTAATAAGATTTGAGTATTAAACTCATGGGTTCGCTTAATTATTTTGGCCTACCCTCTATAGTCATGTAGTTGACTAATCTAAACTAACTATCTAGACTTGTGAGTTTGCTGTTTTTCACCGTTCATCTTATCCTAAAAGTCGTAATATATATATAATACAAGAAAATATGATGATATGACATTATGAGATTGCTTACAATTTATATGAATGACGGAAATTAAATTTTCGTAGCATTAGTTACATCTTTATCCAAAGTTCATCGAACCTATATAAAAAATGTTGAATTTTTGAAAAAAAAGTACAAATCTTGGTGCTAAGGATACAATTAAAGCACAAAAGGCCAGTCAGGCGCCTTATTCAAAACAAAAAAGCAATTGGGCTGATTTATTCAGCTTTAAGCAGCCCATTTAACATGGGCTACCCAAAAGAACTCCAAATCCTAGTTTCCCCACAACAAAATGGGCTCAACATTTGGGTAGATCAGCTGGAGGTGGTATGACTGACTCATTAAGACCTTCTCCATTGTCCACCACAAATGCCATCTTAAGTCCCCACGTCGTGTGCACTTCCAAATGACAATGCATGAACCATACTCCCGGATTATCTGCTTTGAATCGAATCGCAGTCCAGCCACCGGTTGGGACGCCGACGGTGTTCCTTTCAACAGGGTCCACGAGATTGAAGCTTTTCGGATCTTTATTCGGGTTAAAGTTTCCGATCCCTCTTCCGACGACAAAGAAGTTGAAGCCGTGTAAGTGGATCGGATGACTTTCGGCCGCGATCATTCCGGTGTCCTGCAAAACGAGTTGCACCGTAGAATTATACGGGAGTCGGTAAAGCTTCGTGCCTTTGTTTGTGGCAAGATTTGTTGGTTGTGGTCCGGTGTAATTGTACGGCATCGACGGTTTGCTTGGGAAATCGTCGGTGAAAACCCCGCTTATGTTGAAGTAATGTGCCTGGAGAAGGGCGGTCGTCGGCATGACGAACGTGATGTTGTTGATGTCCGCTACCACCGAACTACCGTTGACACAGGTTGCGCAAGGATTGATTCCCAATCCGATGGTGAAAAACAACGAGTGATTGATGGTCAACGGGACTTTGGCTGGGTAAGTTGCAGAATTCAAGCTTCTTAGGGAGTTCATGAACGTGTTGGCGACCGGAGTCGAGTTTTGAGGCGGAGGAGCCACGAGTTTCGTATTGCTAGAAGTGAGAATGCCGGAGTAACGTAGAGAAGCGGTGGTGGTCCGGTTGTCGACAGCAATAGGGGCATCCATGAACGGGGAGACTGCAACCAAGTACTTCCCAGCTTTCTGAGTCGTGGTTATAATGGCATTCGTGGTCTGGCCTGGTGCGATAAGAATCGTGTCCGTTGTGAAAGGTTTCACGTAAACGGCATCGACCTCAACGACCGTGAACTTATGGTTCGCAATCCTCACGAAAAGCTCTTCATTCAGCGCAGCATTAACGATCCTTAACATATACGTCTTCCCGTGATCCACCGGTAATTTGAACCCTCCTGTTTAAATTTTCGACTCGTTAATCACTCAACAATCACATATCACGTAAACTATGTCAAATGTTAATATTATGTAATTACTTTCCAATTCTACCCTTAATTATGAGATATGGGAATTCATTACTAAGGGTAAAATTGTCAATTAACTAATTTGAAAAACTGTAATGATTACACATTTTCAAAATTGTTTATCGTTTTTATGAATCCGCTTAACAAAAGAACGGAAATTAACCATTTGCTAAGCAATTCGAGATCGGCCCGGGATTTCCATTGATGGTGTGAGCATCCGAAACGTTCGGGGCTCCGCCTAACTTTTGTGCTTGGTTGATCACGGCCTCAGTATCCGATTTCCACCATTCTCCTGCATTTTCAACCGTTTATTAGTTTTTTTAGCCAGAATTGAAACAGACACCACATCAAGATTCCAAAACTACGATAAACCGTACCTAATACCACCACCACTTCCTTATTCGGTTTAGGGAAAGGGTAGGGAACCCCGAGCTTTGGCAGGATGACAATGGCGCCATGGACCGTGGCTCGTAGCCATAAGACATGTGCATGCCACCAAAGGGTGCCCCTTTGGCCCGTAAGTGTGAACTTGTATACGTACGTTCCCCCCGGCTGAATCGGGCATTGCGTTATGTAAGCCGGACCATCCGCCCACCCGGTTCTCAGTTGTCGAACCCCATGCCTGTATTAATCCTCAATTAAATCGAATGTTATATCACTAATTAACAACTATTTAATTAACTTCACATTTTTTTTAATTAGTTCGATTAATCGCTTACTAACCAGTGAATGCTAACGTTATATTTAACATGGTTGACCACTTTGACCGTTACCGTGTCGTCCTCCCGGGCAACCAAAGTGGGGCCCGGGAAACGACCATTAACCGTTACTATCGGCTTACTTTCACATAGTTTTGTCGCATTTGCCATTACCACCTGCATTCATCACCAAGTTGTTAATTAACAACACAACTGAAAACATCCAAACAACATCGTTTTTATGAAAACTACTATTTATTTTCAACTCGTTACAAAAAAAAAAAACCGCACGTTGAATTTGTAATTACGAATGCGACACTCGACTGTGGCCGGAAAAGCACACGCCACCAACACCAACGCTGCCGCCACCGCTCGCCACCATATCTCCGCCATGAATGTTGTTAAGTATGTGTGTGTATGTATGTGTGTGTGTTTTGTGGTGTGGGAAATGGAAGGGAGAGGGTTATAAAGGGGGTATTTGCTGGAATGTCGTTTTAAGCCTGGTAGGTGAGTACTTGGAGAGATGGTAGACCTATATAATAAATGGTATTATTATTATTATTTTTATTTAATTATGAAATAAAAATAGAATTAAAAAATAAATTTGTTAATATCTTCCTTGGGATCTACACAAAGTCGTTATGCATCAACTTTCAATCACTAAGTTCACATCCGAGCTTGAGTATTCGGCAGGGTACAAATAAATGTATTATATTTTTTATTATTATTTAAAATATATATATCTTGTTTAATCGTGTTTGTATTTTAACTGATCTTTAGAGGTGTTTGGAATTGCTTATAAAAATTGATTTTTAACTTATTTCAATATGACATCGGTAATAAGCTGTTTTCTGGTGTTTGGATAAGAAAAAAAAACTGTTTATACAAGTGCCAAACCGGTAATAAATTGTTTTTGATAAGGTAATCATTTCTGACTTATGAAAAACTGTTTATTACCAGTTTACAATTTTAAATCTGTTTTATTTAACTTCTGTTTGATATCACACAAGTTAATAAACATTTTTACAAAAAAACATAAGTTGTTTTAAATAAGCAATCCCAAACTCCCCCTTAATATAACTAATAAAAATATACTTAATGACAAATTGACTATCAGTAAACTCGGACTGACAATTTATAACGAGACTCGAGGGTCTAATTTTTTTTTTTTTTTTTTTTATTAACCTAAATATCCAACCCAACCCGGTATGCAAGCCAACTAATCCCAAGACAACCACCTGTTTTGCAGATAGTCTGGAGTCACTGCATTTCAACCTCCGTGGCCACAAGGGGATTTTTATTTCCTTCTTGGATTTGAACTTGGGACCTCCAGGTATTTTTGATCTTTGGAGCCAAGCTCAAACCAATCAGGCACCACCCTTGTGGTTGGGTCTAATTTTCATTTAAGGTGCGAATACATTTTCATTATTAAACATTTTGATGAAAAATGAAGTGTACTGATGGCAATCTTAAAATCTATTACTTGTTTCGTGAATGGCCAGTGACGTATTCAAAAATTTAGGTGATTGGGGATACATCTAAAGGTGTAAAAAATTCCGAAGCTAAATAACTCATTTAAACCATAAAGCTAAAGAATCTATATACTAATATGATTAAAAGTTAGAGTAAACTACAAATTTGGTCTCTATGGTTTGTCAGAAGTAACATTTATGTCCTTACAGTTTCGAAATTATAAGATGTCATCATAGTTTGCAAAAACGTCTGGATTTGGTCCTTTTTCAAACGGCCGTTAAATAAAGGGCATTTCCGTCATTTTATTGACTCTTTTTGTCTTTTACCAATAAAATCAATTTTATGATTTCGGTTTAATCAGGAAAAATACAAAAATCAACAGAAGAACAAAAATATGTTATTAATTCAAGTGAAATATTAACAGGGTTAAATGAAGGGATCAAATACGAGTGGTCGTCATGTAATTTTGAAACTATAAAAAAGAAAAGTGTTATCTTCGATAAACCACAAGGACCAAATTTGAAGTTTACTATAAAAGTTTTTATATAATTTTATGGGTATATACGATAAATGGAACAAATAAATTTGTATGTGAATAAATTAAAAGTATGGTATTGATTTATTGTTATTAAAACGCATTTATTTAATAATTAAATAAATAAATGGGTGGAAATCAAACATTTATGTTTATAAGAAAAAGGGATTAGGGTTGCTGGGATGGATGAACAGAAATTGGTCCAACAAAGAGTGGGTTGATTGATGCAAAAGTCAAAGCTACCCTTGACCAAACAATTACCTAATTATTTTTATTTATTTATATAATTAAGTGGATAACAGAAAAACATGTCCTTTTTCCGTAACTTCAATTGTCAAAAGAGTGATTTATAATTCTTAATACGTCATCTTTCCTTCTTTATTTGAATAAACAAAATTTAATTTTAATAAAAAAAAAATGGTTTTTTTCAATTTATAATAAAAACTTGTGTGTCAAAAAGCAATTTTATTATACTTATGATTCACGTACAAGTAAAGAAAATATATAATACAATGAGGGGTTGTTTGACAGTTGCTGAATGGTTTGATACATAATGATTAAGTGGTCAGAATGATTAAGAGGCTCTCATGATACAGTGCAAAATGAAATAAAATTGTTTGGTAATTATTTACAATGAAATTAGGGCATTGAATGGTTAAGGGAGACATATGATACAAAATCATTCAGAAGGTTTTAGAATCATTAAGAGACATACTTCTTTTTTGTCAAACAAGATTCACCTCTTAACGATTCAGATGTTGCATCTTAATGAAACTATTAAGAGGTAAACAAACAACTCTTAATGAACATTACTTATCGTTGTATTAGAGGTCATAAAGTGGACGGATCTTTCCATTTCTTTAGTCACGAGCATATTCTAATTAATGCGGGTATACGTACAACTTATTAATATGTTGGATTCTATAAAACTAACTGATAAACATGTTCATATACAATATAAATGTTGTGACAGCAAAATACTCAATAAAATCCGATAACCAACAAAAGACTCTGCTTCTCTCTCAAAACCACACAAATCTATAAAACAAAGTCAAAATAGACGAACTAAAGATGTATTACATCATATTACAGATACACATCTAATTAATATGATTACATTTATTTACAGTAAGATTTGAATATAAATTTTTAATTTATCAATTAATAATAATCATTATAACATATAATTTTATTTTAAATTGAGTTTTAAATAATTCTAATATGTGATTATGAAGGCCATTACGACAAAGATTTCGAAGGAATTGTGAAAATGATGGTATATTTTTTTGGTGAACCATCACTTGTGGTTAAATAGGAAAATTGGTCCTTCCAGAAGATTATACGGTGGAGATCAGCTACACCACAACATCATAACATATATTTCCTCAATTAATATTTTTTTAATTAAATTATAAGTGTATGGACTAGTTTGTACGCATCTTGACTAATTTCAGGGCCCTGAAGAACATTCAGGAAAATCCCCAATGGTCTTGCAAGACTCAAACCGGTGACCTCTGAGTAAGATCCATAAATGCCAAAAGTCTTATTGTCAGTTGAGTTAACTCACAAAGTTTTAACTGATATTTGCTAAACGAATATTGTTTTTTTTTCAAAATTCCGCATTGAAATTGTAAGTAAAATGATCGGGTTTGATATTTGATGTGTGTTATTGTAAAATATGAAGAGGGGTTTATTAAACAGTAAGTCGGATTCATTGCAAATAAGCTTTTATCATATACGTCATGTGCGATGGAAAAAATTTATAACATAACTGATAACAGTTATAATGTTAGGGTTGTTTTGTACTGTCATAATTTGTAGTAGTCATTGGTCGCCTCTACCTGAGGAATTTTCGGAATCAATATGCTATCTTTGTTTAGTATCTGATGTTTCGGTTTTATCCCAGTTAGGTGCTTACCAAGTTATATTACTTTACCGGATGAATATGCTAAGGACCAAAAATCTTACCCTGTAAAAACAAAACAATGACTAAGAGTCTTACCCGGTAAATGAAGGCAATGACTCTTACCACGATCAGCTCTTACCGGGTAAATTGTTGCATAAAAAGCCTTTTTTGTTAACTAAAATCTTACCCTATAAGTAAATAATAATATTAAATTTTACCGATAAGTGTTTACCGGGTAAGTGTTTGGTAAACGGCCTCTAAGTCTTACTACAAAATAACAAAGCAAAACTATTTATACCTGGAGGTTACAAAGTCGACCTCTAAGCAATTATTACAAAGACAAACTAAAATACAAAGTAAAACAATTAAAGCATAAGGACTTGAATACAGTTTATAATTCTAACACTCTTAAACAGAATCTGTATTAGTAATCCGTTTACATCTACTATACCATCAGTGTCCATCAATTTCTATACATAGGAAAAGGTACGGTGACTTACATACATCAACATCAAACGATGAAAAGAAAAAGAAGACGATCGATATCAAAAACGTAATCGTATTGGTTATATATTCATAATTTTAGAAGCTACATTTTCAAATCCAACTTTTACCGTTAAACTACTTAAAAAAAAACGATTTAAATTCGTACAAAGAAAATACTTAGTTCTGGGCCGCTATTCCCATCTGGATTCATCATGTAATAAGTCTCGGAATCCTTTGATCCAGTCACTCTTTCAAAATGTGCACGCATGTATGTTAATTCTCCATCTGTTGATGGAGATGTGACAACAGTATCAATATTACTATCATTAGTATTAGTATCACTGTTACTGTTGTCACCGGGGGCTGGAAGTACTCCAGCCCCCATAGATATTGCATGAAGCAATTGCATAACATACAAGTCATCATTTGTAGGCTCTCTTTTCACACCGTACCCCATTTTCCGACCGTTGCAATACATTGTCCATATCGGCTCGTCAACAAGCTTCGTTTTCCCACCATGTTTCTCGCACTCCATTGCGATCCTAACGAGCCCTAGCCCCATTTCTTGTAGTAATTTTCCTGTCGGAATCGAGAGTTCTAGTAAAAGCACCGGCAAACACCTCGGGTTTTCTTGGATTGCGAGGTTGATTCGGGTTTTCCGGTAGCCGAAAAGGGTGCCGGTCATCCGGGTTCCGCCATGGATGTGGTGGTTGTCATGGTGGCTGTGGAGGGAGACCGGGAGTTTACAAGCGGCGGGAGTTATGATGGGGAATGACCGGAAAACGGAGCGGACACGGCGAAAGATTTTGGTTGATTTTGATGGGTTTGTTCTTGGGGATGATGATCGAAGGGCCACTGCCGGTGACCGGGAGGGCGACGGAGATGATGGTGGCGGCGGCGGTGGTTTCTTTGTGCCGGCCATGATCTTGAAGGTTTGGTTGGATGGAAAGTGGTGGTGGTGGAAATGGAGTATATAGAAAATAGAAAGGGGTGGGATGCACGTTTTTTGGTGTCTTTTTATTTATTGGAATAAAAGCTTAATTTTCGATTCTCCGTGTGAAAATTCGTTGACTTAATTTTTAATAAATATTTTTATTTAATTCGACTTATTTTTCTTTTTAATCAAATATTATTTTCCATCTTAACTTTTTATTTTTTTATTTTGATATGATTAAGAGATCGTTTATTAAATTCTTACCCGGTAAGTGTTTACCAGGAATATCAACACTATCACTTACTTACCGGGTAAGATTTTGGTCCACCAAAATGGTATCATATGCAACAATTCACTCTGTAAGCGCTAACCGTGATAAGAGTCGTCGCCCTCACTTACTGGGTAAGACTCTCAGTCATTATCTTCGCTCTTACCGGATAAGATTTTTGGTCCTTACGATACGCATCTGATAAGAAAATGTGACTTGATAAGCGCTAATCAGGTAAATGTTTGTTAAACGACCCCTAACTTTCATTGATTATCATCATAGTTTTAGATCAAAAAGAAATCAATATATTTATAAAATCAAATATTTATTTGATTAAATGAACGATTAATATTGGTTTGTATTTGAAATTCTTTTTACAACATTAATTCAATTCATATATCAAGTAAAATTTCTTGAAAACCAAATATTTAAAATTTTAATAAAAAAATAAAGTTATAGTCTAAAATCAATGTTATAAATATCTTATAATAACATTATATAACATCTTAGCCAAATATTATCAAATGTTATCCGCTTTATCTACATTCACAGTTTTAAAACGTGTATGATAGATGAGATATTCAATCTCTTATAACGTAATATAGTTCCCTCCTCACCGATCTGAGATCTTTCAATCCATCCGTTTTTGGGACATAGCATCCTCACTGACATATCAGTCCAGTTCCTGCCTCTGATAATATCCATAACATCTTAGACAACCGTACTAGATACCGTTTGTTTTGTCAACATCTAAACTCATGGTTTTAAAACGCATATGATAAAAGGAGATATCATAAGTCAACCTTAGTTTCCCCCCTAATCAATACAAGAAATTATAATATTTGCATATAAATAAACAATAAATTTTGATTTAAATTTTATTCCATAATTTTTTTAATTAGTTTTTCATCCTAATTTTGGTTGATTTAGCAATTATATGATTTCAAAACAATTCAGAAGTGAATTTTATTAATTTATTAAAGTCAAAACGTGTTTTTTTTAATTAAAAAATAAAATGAATAAATATTTTGACTCCTGCGAAAATAATATTTAATATAGATTACCCATCAAAAGTCAATTATTTAAAATAATTTATAATATCAAATAGAAATTTAAATCAAAATTGACTCAAATCAATTTGAGATGAATGGATCGGTTCGGTTCCATCCATTGGATACTTTTATTGGATATCAAATGGATGATCCGTTAGGATTGGATCCAAACAAATTGATTAATCACTTTTAATATGTGTTAAAACCAACAAAAGAAAAGTTAAAAATTCAAAGCCTCACATAAAATGATTTTCTGATTTAAGCAATTTAAAAATAAATTAATTGGATGATAGGTGGGTAATAGTTGGATGGACAACTAGATGGTAATCAGATGATTAATTGGATGTTGATGGGTTTTGGTCAGTTCTGGACTGTCATCCGAGAACCGAACGATCTAAATTGGATGTTAAAATTTTTAATCCGATCCAATTACAATTGGATATCCAATTATGATCGGTCGGTTCTAATTGGATCAGTCGGTTCCAATTGGATCGGTTGATTTTCTACACACCCCTACATTCAATGATCATTCTTTTTTTGAAATCAGTTGTTAACCAGTTGAGAATCAAAAATAAGAATTTACATGAAGGACTAAGATAAGTTTATGCTTGATTCAATTTCAAATGACGGGCCTTTGACACTTTGTAACGATTTTCATGTTAGGACCGTAATCATCAACCAATTCGGTCTAATAACATCTCCAACAGATTTCTTAAAATTTCTCTAAAACGTAGAACCATAAATTTAAATCTATAAAAAAAATACATTCAACTTTAACAGATTATTTTGAAGAATACAACATTGATTATAATATTATTTATTTTTCTACATAATTATTTTCAAAGTTTTCTATGGGTAGAATTATTTTAAAAAATACCTCTCTCACATGGTAATTATTTTTCGGGTAATCTCCATATTTGGAGAAAAAAAAAGGAAAGAAAAAACTCTCTTTCCTTTTTTTTTTTTCTCAAATTTGGAGATATGTTTAGGAAATCTGTTGTAGCTCAATTTTAGTTCAAAATGTAACACCCAAACTCACATTTTGCATAAAATTCACAGATGTCATATAACATGAAATACAAATATTATACACTGGTCTTAATATATACAAATTGCTACGCAAGAAAGTAACTATAAACTTTCTGCTCACATAATTACATGATTTGAATAACACAAATTCACAGATCAAATACATATTCAATTTCCCAAAAATCCACAGATGTAACGCAATAATAATTCGCTTCCCTTTACTTTTTACATGTGCTCGACATGTAATGCACATTTTTGAAAACAAAATGAGGGTTAGACCATAAGTCTAGTGAGTAATTCTCTTGATTGTTACTACAGGGTGAAAATCAATAAAATACTTTTTGGGAAGTTAACCTTTGAAAAGATAATATGTAAATAACATTTATTGTATCAAAACTCTTTTGTCGCATCATATAGATGAGACAAGCCCATTTTATCATATTAAACAATATAATAACCCACTTGTCACATCAAACACATAATACCCCAATTTGTCAGATCATTCAGATGCGATAACACATTTTTGTCGCATCCAACAGATGCGATAACATTTTTTCTCGCATCATACAGATGCAATAACCCAACTTGTTGCATTACAAGGATGCGATAAACACACTTGTTGCACCCCAAAGATGCGATGAACACAACTCCTCGTATCATACAGATGTGATAACTCCCCTTTGTCGCACCTCAAGGATGAGATAAAAATAATACTTACGAATCAAATCCCAATTTCATCGCATCAGACACATGCGATAAAATTAATCTCATCGCATTATAAATATGCGATAACAATAACTCATGATCAAAAGATCATTATTTTCCAGAAATTGATTATGTTACTCTCATCCTAGTATACCCAGTTCCTGATTATGTCACTCTTATTACAAATTTACCAAGCTCCTGATTATGCCACCCTTATTACAAAATATACATCTCTCCTGATTATGACATTCTTATACCAATCAGTTGATATTAACTATCAAAACTCAAAATCATGCTAAAACTAGCATATAATCATTTTAAAACACCACATGAATGAAATTATATGGTTCCTTAGTAAAGCAAATCAAATGATGTTTTAAATGTTAAAACTCACCTTGATCACGAATAGAGATAGAAAGACTTTAAACAACAACAAATAATCAGATAAAAATATCATGTAAGCAGTTTCTTCCTCTTTTTATTCTGTTTCTTCGAACCAGTGACCAAAACACTCACCAACTTTTCTCTTCACTCTCTTACCTCTTTTCACCAACAAAGAAATAAAAGAAAATAAACATATATATACCATTGAGATGAGCGGTGAAATGATGATAGGGATGACAAAAAAACTCGAAAGCGATGGTGAAAACCAAAAATCGAAACTTTTGGGCCGGGTTCAGGAACATCTTATCGGGGATGGGGCGAGGATGGTGATCCCCGGCCTGGCCCGGCCCGATATGTGTGTGTGTGTGTGTGTGTGTGTATATATATATATATATAATATATATATATATATAATATCATTAAAAGAAAATAGTAACATTAAAATTTAAAAACTTTTATTCACTTTACCTTAACAACCCAAATAAAGCTCACGAAAAAGTCTAGTTTATTTGTCTAAAATCGTTATTTTAATTGTATGATGTTTGAATTTCTGTTTAGTTTTATATTGTAATCTAATACATTGTTTGTAATTGGTCCGATTATGTTTGAGACATTTAAACTTACATCTTTAAAAAAATTGTAATTTACTTTTAATTGTGAAAATTAGCATATTGTAATTTTTTTCAGATTGGTTTCGGGTTTCGGTTATAACCAATGGTGAAAAAGATGATTTTTACCCTTAACAAGTTCCCCAACGGGGATTGGGGAAACCGCGGGGACCCGAAGGGATCCCCGACGGGGATCGGGGCGATTACGGGAACGGTTTTAGCTATCGGTTTCGGAGACGGGGATACCAATACCCATCCCGTTGCCATTCCTAAATGATGAGATATTTTAAACACATTTTTTAAAAGTCATCTATCAACTTTCATCACTTAACAATAACACATTCCCACATTTTCAATCAAATTTTAATAACAACCCTAAACTTTTATAACCATTAACCCGGTTATCACACAAAATCTCCATTTTCTTCAAAATTATGTCAATATTGATATTAAAATTGGATGACCATGAATAGATATCCAATTTTTGATTGAGAAGTATGAAATGTAGCTTTCAAAAGGTTGTTTGTCAAATTCTTACCGATTAATTAGGGTTGTAAATGAATCGAACGAACACGAACAAAAGCTTGTTCATGTTTGTTCGTTTAACTTAATCGAACGAACACGAACAGTAAACGAAAGAAAATCTTTGTGTTCATGTTCGTTCGTTTAGAAATCAGGTGTGTTTGTGTTCGTTTATGTTTGTTTGTTAACATGTTAAACGAACGAACATAAACGAACGGACTAAATGAACATAAACGAACATCTCTAAACAAACATAAACGAACAAACCTAAATGAACATAAACGAACATAGAAGGTTTCATCTAGGGGCTAGGGTTTTTTGGAAGAAAAATGAAAAAGGTAAAAATTTCAAATAAGACAAAATGATGATAAAATTTAAATCTAAATAAACTCATAAAAGTTAAAACTTAAAATAAATATTATTTGAATTCAAACTAACTAAATAAAAGATTATATATTGAATTTAATATATAAATGGACGAATATAAACAAACGTAAATAAACGAACATTCACGAACATAAATGAACGAATGCTTGTTCATATTCGTTCGTTTAACTAAACAAACAAAAACATTTGTTCATGTTTGTTCATTTATTAAATAAACGAACATAAACGAACTTCACGTCGAACGGTTCACTGAGCGTTCGGTTCATTTACAGCCTTACCGATAACAGTCAACCCTCTCGTTTATCTTATTAGGTAATATTTTCTTCCACTAAAATGAATTGTTAGTAAGTATTTCTTAATTGATAAGTAGTAACCAGATAAGAGTCTTTTCTTTCACTTATTGGTGAGATTCTATTTGACACGTGAGTGTTATGGGGCAATCTGTCATTTTGTCAAAATTAAGGGAGATAAGTGAAATCGTAGTCTTTTTCCAGGGTTAAATTTTAAAATACCAGAACCACGTATCGCTTTCATGTCATTAGTTACACGTTACTGGACCAATGGTGTCCTGCATGTAGCAAATTTTGATTTGTCGAAAGAGATCTCCCAATTTCAACTATAATTCTCCGCAATCAATTGCATTGTTGCGGGTTAATAGAATCCAACAGTAAAGCTACGAATTCTTCTGAGATTCCATCTGGGATTGGAAGGTTGATCTGAATATGAAGTTCTTCTTGAAGGATTAACAGTACTCGCAGTGGAGTTGCCGCCTATCTGATATTTTCTCCTGAAATGGGGCGAAAATCGCAAACAGGTACTCCCAATTTATCTTCAGATTAGCTTTAATCTTTCAACTACTTCATTAATTTCTGGTTTAATTCTTGTTTTATGTCAAATAATCGAAGATATTTTGTTAAATCATGCTTTTGTATCGATCATGTTCTTGTTCTTTAAGTCAAACCCTAATAGTTAATCGCTGAAACGACTATTACTCTCGTAATTTGTGCTAACTACTGGTTTATTATCGTCATAGCCGAAGGATTTTAGTGATCAAATTTGTTGCAGAGTCTTCTTCTTGGACCTTCGAATTCAGCCATGTAGTTTGATCAAGAACTTTTTTGGGAGATTTTAAGTAAATCGAAGAAATTATGGACGATGCCGAAATTGGTTACATATGTGATCATACAATTTGATAGATACCGAAGTTTGAATCTATGATGAAAACATGAAATCCTCAAGAAATGTTTTGACTTTTATGTTGATTACAAAAAGGGATTTGTTTCCAAATCATTGCTCCAATTCAGTGATCAATTGAAATTTTCCTTTTATGAGAAGGCATCGTTACACATATTGAGGTCCATATAAGATCTATTCACCGAAAGGGTAATTTAGATGTTTACCTAATAGTCAAACCTTTCTTTTAAGTCAAAACGGAGTATGAACCTCCGAAGACCCTACTTTCGAGTCGAGGGTGATATTCGGGTTACTTATGGTTTGGTTTACTTTGGTTCCAACCGTCAAACTTGTAAACTGAATACAATTTTAAACAATGTTCCTGTGGTTTTACCCTTATTCGTCAATAAGCTAGCAAACGCAACGGTGATTTTCAAATCTCCTCAAGTAGGATTCGAACCGACGACTTATACAGTCAACCAAACCAAACGAGCCCAGTATGACTCACTCTGAGGTGGGGTTTGGCGGGTATGATGCATGCAGACCTGATCTCTATCCTAAAGAGTAGAGCGGTTGTTTTGTGAAGGGCAAAGGATCGTGTGAGGAGAGTTGAAGTGAGAAGCATAAGAAGGGATCTGGACCCTGGATCACCTTTAATCTCAAATCTCCCCATAAATCGTGCTTGATACAAGATTGATCTGGTGTCTGGTGCATCTTGATGCATCTTATCCTAATGTGCATCTACGGGTGGAGATCCCTTCTTACGCTTATCGCCTTAACTCTCCTTCTCACAAGAAACCAACCCTTCACCCTTAGCATGAGAAAAGTCTGTGAAAGAGAACCTATGACTTGTAGAGTCTAAAAGCTTATCTTTTCGTGAATACTTCTCATTGCAGATTTAATAAAAATTTCTATCTCAGGTGACTATCGAGAAGTTGATACTGAATCAAGTACGTGTAATTTGCTTGAATCTAAGGAAGAAGATGGAATCTACACTGAGGATGGGACCGTAGATTACCTTAACAATCCGGCTAATAAGGAAAAAACAGGAACTTGGAAGGCTTGTGGCTTCATCTTAGGTACTTATGATCGTTATCCCTTACGCATATACATGTACATCGATTTATGTTCATTTATCATGTTATACTTGTAGGCAATGAATGTTGTGAAAGATTAGCGTTTTACGGAATGAGCTCTAATTTAGTACGGTATTTTAAGTATCATTTGAATGAGCATAGCGCAACGGCTTCAAGAAATCTTTCAACTTGGACCGGAACTTGCTATCTTACACCATTGATTGGAGCATTTGTGGCCGATACTTATATTGGACGATATTGGACAATTGCCAGCTTCTCAATCATCTATGCAATTGTGAGTCTAATCGGAATCAAATAAGTTTGTTTGTTCATCATACCTATTTGCCTGTTTGCACACACCCCTTTGTTATTATGCTACTTCTCTCACCGTTTCTTTATATTTTAGTTTCTAAGTCGGGGGTCTTCACGGAAATAGCCTCTCTACCCCATGGGGTAGTGGCAAGACCTAACACTACAACAAAATCGGTTTTATAGGACGTCAAATATGTCTAAATGTCTTAATAGATTGCTTAATAGAATTAAAGTTTATCGGACCAAACAATTGTTTGTCATATGTAAAGGTGTTACACTAGTATGTTAGGGCGTAGTTGGACACCCTAACAAGTCTTTAGGACGATATTCGGGAAACTTTTGAACTAAAGTGTCTTATTAGCTTTCTTATAGGACGATATTAACAGGTGTCTTATGAACACATCTTTTTATAAGATACTTGTTTTTCTACTTTCATTGGTCAATATAAGCAACTAGTTTTTGTTTTCACCCTTTCATTGCTTGATGTTCGATATTCACTTATAGGGCATGGCAATGTTAACACTATCGGCATCAGTCCCGGGGCTAAAACCAACATGTTATGAAAACGATGTTTGCAGTGCAACGGAAGCGCAAATCGCTCTGTGTTTCACATCTCTTTATCTTGTGTCACTAGGAACCGGAGGAATCAAACCCTGTGTCTCCTCTTATGGTGCAGATCAATTCGACGATCACGATGAGGTTGAAGAAAAACAAAAGAGTTCGTTCTTCAATTGGTTTTATTTTGTCATAAATATTGGTGCACTCGTGGCTCATTCGGTTCTAGTTTGGATCCAAGACAATGTGGGCTGGGGTTGGGGGTTCTTGGTTCCTACTGTAGCTATGGCGATTGCGGTGGTTTCGTTCTTTTCAGGTACTAAGTTGTATCGGAACCAGATTCCGGGCGGCAGCCCGCTCACCCGCTTGTGTCAGGTGGTGGTTGCTTCTTTTAGAAAGAAACGGATTGAAGTTCCTTCAGATAGTTCACTCTTATATGAGGCTTCTGATGCTGGTCTTTCTAATTCTGGAATCCACAAGATCGATCACACGTTAGATTTCCTGTAAGTTGTGACCTTTAGTGGAGTGTTTGGCATGCAAGCATGATATGACTGGACTGATGAGAGTGAGGTAAGTACGTGAAAGAATTTTGAGAGTTTTTACGGTTTTAATCTGGCATAGGTAGTTTAGTAATTTACTTATAATAAAACTATCTTATTGCCCCATTCAGTCTTGTCCCAGTCAAATTGTCGTGCCAAAAGTGGGACAAGAAGTTTTTGTTCTGTCCTGTTTTGTGTACCAAACGCACCCTAAAATATTTTACTCGATGTTTTGTTAAGAAGTTTCGACAAATTTGTGATTACATTAACTTCTTGTTTTCAGTTTCCTCGACAAGGCGGCTGTGGTTTTGTCCTCGGATCATAGGAACGGGTCGATAGACCCGTGGAAGCTTTGCTCGGGGAGCCAAGTCGAGGAACTGAAAGCGGTCTTACGGTTGCTTCCAATATGGGCCACGGGTATCATTTTCTGCACGGTTTACGCACAAATGAGTAACCTGTTTGTGTTGCAAGGGTCCACTCTTGACCCTCGGGTCGGCACGTCCAGTTTTGAGATTCCGCCGGCTTCACTCGGGATTTTCGACACAATCAGCGTGATATTCTGGGTCCCGGTCTATGACTGTGTTATCGTCCATGTAGCCAGACGGCTCACGGGTCAACAAAATGGGTTGACCCAACTCCAACGGATTGGGACCGGCCTCTTCATTTCCATCTTCAGCATGGTGTGTGCTGGCATTCTTGAAGTTGTTCGGCTCGAGATTGTATCGAGAAACAACTACTACGAACTCGATCGGATTCCAATGTCGATATTCTGGCAGGTGCCACAGTACTTTCTTATGGGGTGTGCAGAAGTTTTTACGTTTATCGGACAACTGGAGTTCTTTTACGAACAAGCCCCTGATTCGATGAGAAGTTTATGTGCTGCTCTTCAACTAACAATAACGGCCCTTGGGAACTACCTGAGCGCTTTTCTCGTTACCATTGTCACGGTCATCAGTACTCAAGGTGGTAGCCCAGGGTGGATAACGGACAATCTCAACTACGGCCATCTCGACTATTTCTTCTGGCTCTTGGCCGGTCTCAGTGTCGTGAACTTGGGAGTTTTCATCACGTTGGCGAAGCGGCACACGTATAAAATACCCGCCGGAGCGGTTCGCTGAAGTTAGCGAGATGATGCTTCGGAAACTTGTACTTACAGCAACATGGATTGTAAATAAGTGTGTTGCAACTTGTACATTTTTTATGGTGATCCAATTGACTCTACTTATGGTTAAACATCTCATTAATGATTAATTATTCCATGTGGGTTTTACCTGTATTTTTTGGTTTAGGATCCGTTTACCAAACATAAATTGTTTAAACGTTAACCAGATAGTCATCACCTTCGATCTCTAGGTAAACAGGTTGATATTGATCGAGTATTTTTGTAAACAAAAAAAACATTCTTTTTACCCGGTAAGAGACGGTACGAATGTAGTAAACATATTTTGTAGACTCTATTGGTTTGTTTGGTTTGAATTAGATCCATTTAAGAGAAAATCACCAAACTAGACAATTTCATTATTGAATTTTAATTGATGTCGTTTTTATAAACATTATCATGAAATAGTCAGTAAATCCGTAAATCTCTGCAAAATATGATCTCAAGAGCAAATTTTCTGCTTTTCAGTCAAGATATGATCCATCATTTAACAGGAAAATGTCTGAAAAATTAAACCCTTTAATTTACTATTTTGTAATAATTTATAAAACAGCTATGTTTTTAAGAAAGAATGGCTGTGAAAGATTTTCAGTTGGTTGAAATAAGGGTGTAAATGATACGAGACAACTTACGAGTTACTTCAGACCGACTCGGTCAAAACTTGGTCGATACTTGACTCTAATGGGCTTGGTTTGAACTCAACTCGACATACTAACGGGTCGAGTCAAAATACCCAATAATCGACTCAAAAAACTCGTGAGATTATCCATTTTTAATATATAATTAGTTTTATAATACAATTTGTAAAATACAATGTAAAGTTTTATTAATAAACATACCAATAAAAAATGTCATATATTTTTAAATATTTAAACAAAATTGTGCATTTTTTAACCATAAAAATTAATCAATTGTTTTCTATTAAAATCATAATCAAGAAAAAAAAAACTATAAAAGCGTTGGTGAAATCATCCACATTTTAAGAGATATAATAAAAGAATGGTTAAATGCATGAAATAGCAACTTACTTTCATAAATTTTCTTATTATAACATTTGACTTTTGTTTTTCTTTATTACAACAATGTACTTTCAAATTATTTTTATTAAGAAATCACACTTTAAAAAATTTACCCATTGTAGCAATAGGTAACCTGTTACCTTCTAAACCGGTTAACCCTTTAACTTTTTTGCTTGTGTGACTTTAATAAGGTGATGTGGATGACACATCATTTTGATGACTTAATTAAAATAAAAATAAAAACATATCTCAAATTATTATTAGTGATTTTCATTTTTTATTGCTATGATTTAAAAAATATTTAATTTTTTTTTTGACTTTTTGTTATTAAATTGCATGCAAATTGAATATTCTAGAGTAAAATATTTCTTAAATAAATATGTTACATTATTTTTAAGATATATTTTGTTTATAAAAAAGATAACACTTCTTATTTTATGTTGTTCAAAAAAATACATATATTTTAAAGCTCTCCCTAAAAGTTAATGAAATAAATTGTGTTCTATAATTTTTTAATATTGTTATATTAATAAATACTTCAAAAAAATCTAATTAATTTAATATATTTATACGTCAAGTAAAAGTTTTTGAACAAATATAATATATTCTTTAAAAGATAATATTTTTTGATAAAAAAAACAATTCTTATTTTTTTTAAACAAATATTTTTTTTAAATATTAACGAGATAAGTTGTCTTCTACTAGTTTTTTTAGTATTAATATATTAGTGAATAATTTAGAATTTTTTAATTCATTTAATATATTTATTAAATAACATGTAAAATATCTAAATATTAAAATTAAAAGTACATTGTTTAATAAGAATTAGTAGATGTTATAATAAAATAATTTTGAAAGTACAATTTTGTAATAAGAAAGTCACATCACTATAGTACATGTGGACAACCTACATGGACAATGAGGTGACATGAAAACCTGATATAATGGGTAAATTTAAATCAAAATGTTATCTAATGGTATAATGGGTAAATTTTTCAAACTACAACATTTTAATAAAAAATAGTTTGAAATTACATTGCTATAATAAAAAAAAACTGAAAGTATAATAATGTTATAATAAATAACTTTATGAAAGTAGATTGTTATTTTGTATATTTTGCCTCAAAAAATGATGAATAGATGCTATAGAAAAGAAGGGATGGTATTGGAATTTGTAACATGAAATTTGATAGAACGTTTTTTTTTTTAAGAAAAAGAGAACAATTTTAAATTTTATAATTTATAATATTCTAAAATTTCATAAATTTGCTCGATTCTAGTTTGAGTTTCAGATTAGTTCAAGCTTCAAACAAGCTCAGAGTTCCGAATTTAAAAAATTACAATGTAGTTCAAATTCGATTTTTGTTTTTAACTACTTGCAAGTTTATGAGTCAAGTTTGAGTTCAAAAAATAGATATCGAGTTCAAATCAAATATACCAATAGGCCTGTAAATGAACAGAACGAACACGAATGGAGGCTTGTTCATATTCGTTCGTTTAACTTAACCTAACAAACGAACGAAAATCTTTGTGTTCGTGTTCGTTCGTTTAGAAATCAAGTGTGTTCGTGTTCGTTTATGTTCGTTCGTTAGCATGCTAAACGAACAGGCTAAACGAACATTAATAAATATTATTTGAATTCAAAGTAAATAAACAAAAGATTATATATTAAATTTAATATATAAAGTAACATAAACGAACCGTAAATGAACGAATGAACGTTCACGAACACAAATGAACGGACGAGACTCTTGTTAATGTTCGTTCGTTTAACTAAACGAACAAAAAAATAGTTCATGTTTGTTCATTTATCAAATAAACGAACAAAAACAAGCTTCCTACCGAACGGTTCGTTAACGTTGGGTTTTTACCACCCTGTATACCAATACTCGAATCGAAGCATATGTAGGTTGAAATTTTGAAAACATAAAAACGGTTAAAATAGAACGAAGGGAAAATAGTAGGCCACGACACATAAGAATCAATGCGTCCACTGAATAATTGACCCCACCCTCTCGAATTTCTGAACCGCTTCTATTTGCATCAATGGCGCCAAAAGCATGCAGTTCCTGTTCCGTGATTCAACATATAAAGTACCTGCTTTTACTCTTTCTCTCTTTACTCATCCATGGCGGAAACTTCTCCTCACATCCTCTCTTCAGGTCCTCCACCTTTTGATTTTGTGTTTCTGTTTAATTTGCTTTGGGGGGAGGGGGGTGAAATGCATGCAATTGTTTGCTGAATAGTTCTACCTGGTTTTGGCCTACTCAACCGCTTCCAGTTTGTGTTTTTTTTTTGGTTTGTATTTCAAATTTGTTGTTATTTTCAAATGCAGATGTTTTATAGTGATTTTGTAGCAAGTTTACTGTCGAATTTCGTTTGACATTTTAATTTTGTCATGCTGTTTATATTTGTGTCTAAAATTGCTCAAATTGTCGTACCTGATCTAGGGTTTGTGTTGGTGATTTTAGTGGTTTCAATCATTTTAGTGTGATCGATCAATTAGGTGTCAAGGCTAACATAAAGTGAGTAGGAGGTCCGAAGTGCAAGTCACAAATGTCGCCTCTCTCACCTTAGATCACCTGATCTAAGGTGTGGTAAGGGGGTTGCGCCCCTTTGCAAGGTCCTAGGGGCAATGCCCCTGACGATGGTAGAGGGGCGCCTCCCTAGCTGGGTTCGGGGCAGTGCCCCTGAAACCTCAACGGGTTTTATGAAGAGGTTTACTAAGGAAATTTAGGATTCAGGACGTTTTTGGTGGAATTCACAAGGTTGGGAACCTTCATGAATTAAGTGCTTTAGTGAAATATACCTAAGGGTCCGTTTACCAAACGCTTACTCGGATAAGTGAACACCAAGTCGCATTACCTTACCGGATGAATATGGCAATGATTAAAAATCTTATCCGGTAAGAGCGAGACAAGGACCAAGAGTCTTACCCAGTAAGTGAGGGTAACGACTCTTACCATGGTAAGCGCTTACCGGGTAAATTGTTGCATACGATACCGTTTTGGTGGACTAAAATCTTATCCGGTGAGTGAATAATAGTGTTAAATTTTACCGGGTAAGTATTCGGTAAACAACCCCTAAGTTTCTAAGTCTTCACTCACTCAGAGCCTCTAAGCCTTATGGTCAGAGTCGTCGACTTATAGCTTCTGATCGTGGATGTCTCTGAACACAGAACACTTACTTCTAGGCATGGTGCTTCTGACTCGGAGCTTTTGAGTCAGTTGTAACTGCTATCCAATCTTATCCGTTAACGATTATAATTGTTGTGTGGTTATGTTTTAACCGTCTAACCACCCATAACTGCCGATCTCTCGTATAAATATGTAAACATAGAATCTGAATGTATATAAGACTCAATCTTATAGCCTTTGAGATTAGAGTTTTCATTTGGATTATCCCAATATGCAATTCATGATACCCAAGGCTTATAAGGGACGAATTATTGTATTAGAATAGCAACCTTACGCGATCCAAGTGATTATCCAGTCTGTGTACTTTCAAGTTAATTGTCACATTGGCATCATTGTCTATAACCAACTTAAAAATGTAGCTAAGATGAACCCAGATCAAGTAAATTTTGTTAACCCTTATATTTATTAGGATGTGAAGATAGGAAGGACTGGAAGTTAACCTTATATTCATCTAATATCTACATAACCCTACGCTGCTACTTGTTACCATGATTATGCTAAAAGGTCAGCGAGTTTCATCGACTCCAAACGATCATTTTAACGGTATGGAGTTCCATTACAATTGGGGCTAATTACTTGGTTTGAGATGTGACTTGTCATTTTGTTATCCCAACAATATTATCCAGATGATGAAACGAGCATGTATACGTTGCTCGAAACCAAGGGAGAAGATTGTGTCTACACTAAAGATGGAACAGTGGATTACCATAACAGTCCTGCTAAGAAGTTCAAAACAGGATGTTGGAAGGCCTGCTTCTTCATAGTTGGTAATTACTACGTTATTTGATCTGTGCCTTTCATATTTTTTTATCCATTTATAGAAAGGATGCTATGCATGAAAATCTAACGCAACTGAAATTCCAAGAAAATACTAAGAAACAGTTTATATGTTCCAACGCTTGATGCAGCAACCGCAAGTTTTGAAAGGTTGGCATATTTTGGGATGAGTTCCAATCTGTTGCTGTATTTTAAGTATGAACTCAATCAGCACAGCGCTACAGCCTCAAGAAATTTATCAAATTGGACTGGGGCATGCTACATTGCCCCACTGTTTGGAGCATTTGTTGCTGATGGGTATATTGGAAAATATCGGACAATAGCAATCTCTTCGATTTTGTATGCCATTGTAAGTTCCCCTATTTTAGTTATTTCAGAAATATGTAAGTAACATTATATCTATTATACATGATGCCCAAATCAAGTCTTTTATCATACCCAAACTAGCTTAGATGAAAGCGGAAACCATATAAGAGCATCTGCAGTAGACTTGTTGAGGTTCTTGTGCAAGTTCCTACAAGAACCTCTACTGTGGTCATAGGTTCTTGTCCGGTCAAAGGTTTTCATGGGTGCGTTTGGTACACTAGACTGGACAAAACAGAACAGAGATCATTGTTCCATGTTTAGCAGGACTTTTATGTGGAACAGGACCAAAGTGTAACTTTGTTCCACCCTTACCCCACGGAACAATGTAGAACAAACCTAGATTTTACCAATATACCTCAAAATAAAACCTAATTCACTTCTAAAACATTAAATACACCTCTCTTTCTACATTTTATCCGTTCTTTAAATTTTAGTTATCGTATTTTATGCTCTTTAAATTTTCACTTTTAAGTCCTAAAAATATTATTTTTATACGGTTTCTATATTTTAGTTATTTATATAGTTATTAAACATTTAATAATAAAAAATAATATAGAAAATGTATAAAATAAAAATTGAAAACTACGTAAACTTTTTATTTTGGTATCATTTAAATCGTCTTGAGAAAAACTTTCTAATAAATATATTTTGTTATAAAAATATTTATTTTATTATAATTTAATAAATTATGTAAAATTAATCAAAATACATAAAAGATATAAACAACTCATTATGGGTAAATTGGTTAGGTCGTTCATGTCCAGTTCTGTCCTACCGAATGCTGAACAATTGTTCTTTTCTGTTTTGTCCTATCCCATGTTGTCCTATCTGAATACTAATCGCACCCTATAAGAACCCAACTCCTTAAACAAGAACCCTGGTTATTGGCTAGATAAAATTTATATAGTTATCTATAAGTAAATAAACAAATAAAATTATATAATTACTTATAAATGAGAAGTGGGAAGAATAGAAGAGGTTCTTATAAGAACCTCTACTATGGAGTTCTATTGAGGTTTTTATTTTGTGGAGTTGACACTGATGTGGCATGAAAACGTAGAAAAAAGAGGTTCTTACAAGAACCTTTACCACGGATGCTCTAAGCTTCAATTTTTGAGGTCAAACCGTGCAATGACTTCGAATTTCTCTGTTTGTACACCTTTTATACAACTCTGATTTCCATCTTTTTGCATTTTACTTCAACATTAGGGGATGACACTGTTGACATTATCAGCAGCGGTACCTGCATTAGTACCATCTTGCCTCAAAACAGATGTTTGGGATGCAACAGGTTCTCGGACCGTAGTGTGCTTCACAGCACTTTACTTGGTGGCACTGGCTAGCGGAGGAATCAAGGCTTGTGTCTCGGCTTATGGAGCAGATCAATTTGATGACAATGATACGGCTGAAAAAAAGCTCAAAAGTTCTTTTTTCAATTGGTATTATCAGATGATGAATATTGGCAGCCTTCTTGCTCATTCTTTAATAGTATGGGTACAAGATAATGTGGGTTGGGACTGGGGGTTTGGCATTCCTACTCTAGCCATGGCAATGGGAGTAGTTTCTTTCTTCTCCGGTACCTGGTTTTACAGGAACCAAAAACCGGGGGGAAGCCCTTTGACCCGTTTCTTCCAAGTGGCTGTCGCTTCCTTGAGAAAGAAAAGAATCAATGTGCCAGCAGATGCATCGCTATTGTATGAGATTGATGATGTTAATTCATGTATCAAAGGAAGCCGGAAACTTAATCACACAATGAACTTCAGGTCAGTCTCTAACCTCTAAAAATTTTGTGGGAACGACGATAAAATTTGCATTAGTAATCAACTCAAATGCACTCACTCCTGCTTTTCCAAGAAAAAAAGTACTGTTTGACTAGCGTTTGGTATGTGGGACAAGACAGTACAAAAACTTGTTGTCCCACGTTTTGGCACGACATTAAACTGGGGCAAGACAAGACTTGATGGCCGAGTGGGACAATAATGCAGTTTTTCTGTCTCATCAAAATTAGGTGGAACAAAAATCGAGTAGATGAGACAAGATTGGTAAATTAGTAAACTACCCATAGCAAATTAAAACCTAGAACCTTCCAGAATACTTTCGTGAGCCTACCTCACACTAGCCCATCTAGTCCCGTGTACCAAATGCACCCATAAGGTCGTACAATATGCCATTGAGATTGAAAACCAACATTGATATGATGACCAATCTTGTGGTACTTGTCAAGAAATCAAGGAATCATGTTAATCTTAAAGTTGAGTATTGCTCTGGTTTGATCTTTTTCTTTTTTGGAAGTATATAATATATATAGGCGAAACTCATACATGCCCCTCACTTTTGGTGAGGCTTGAACCCTTGACCTCCATGGAGGTTGGGATCTACTGGTAACCCAGGTACCGCTGTGCCATTGACCCTTTGATTGCTATGTTTTGATCTTGATTTCAGCTTCTTTGATAAGGCAACTGTGGAGACGCCATCAGATCGTGCAATGGGATCGGTAAACCCATGGAGACTCTGCACAGTTACCCAAGTCGAAGAACTGAAAACCGTCTTACGTTTGCTACCAATCTGGATCACCGGTATCATATTCAGCAGCGTACGTGGTCAAATGGACAATCTGTTCGTCTTGCAAGGCTCTTTCATGGACACTCAAGTAGGCAACTCTAGCTTCAACATCCCACCAGCATCACTAGGTACTTTTGGCACCCTTAGTGTCATATTCTGGGTTCCAGTTTACGACCAAATCATCGTCCCACTTGCCCGAAAACTCACCGGTCACCCGAACGGAATAACCCAACTCCAGCGGATCGGAGCAGGACATTTCATTTCAATATTTTCTATGTTATCTGCCGGAATCTTGGAAGTCATTAGGCTCAATATCGTCAAAAGACACAACTACTACGAAATCAAGCCCGTGCCAATCTCGATATTTTGGCAAATCCCGCAGTTCTTTATCATCGGGTGTGCAGAAGTTTTCACGCTCGTGGGTCAGATGGAGTTCTTTTACGAGCAAGTGCCTGACTCGATGAGAAGCTTGGGGTCGGCCTTGCGGCTAACGACTATCGCACTTGGGAACTATACGAGCTCATTACTGGTAAGTATAGTTATAAAGTGGACGACTGAGGATGGGGGGCCTGGGTGGATACCGGACAATCTGAACTATGGGCAACTACAGAACTTCTTCTGGCTTTTGGGTGTTTTGAGTGTCGTAAATCTTGCGGTTTTTGTGGTGGCTGCGAGGTGGCATACCAGTAAAAGATTAGTTGGTGTGATCATGTGAATCTGGAAGGAAATCTTGGTTGGATTCCATGTGTGTATAGTACTAAGAATGTAGGTTTTGTAGATCTGGTAAAGTTTATCGTAAAGGATTTCTGCATCGGTTAGACTTGGACCCTCTTTTCGGTATCTGTTGGAATCTTTACATGGTATCAGAGTCGATGTCTATCCCTCTAAAGATTTGATATTTTGGGACAATATGTGCCCCGTTTAGTCCCCTCTCTGACACTTTGGGACAATTTGTGTCTTTAGGCCTCCATAGGAAGGAGCATACTTTGACCATTTCTATCTCTTCTGGGAGTAATCTAATGGAATCGGGGACCGGCTGAACGAAAAAGTTTCGATTATGGTCTAGTTTGATTTGAAGAAAAAAAAAGTTTGGTCTTATTCTTTAAAAAGAAAAAGAAAAAGAAATTAAAAAAACTGTCTGATTTAGACCGATGATGTCATGATCTTGTATTTGTCTGAATGCCTTTAAAACTTTTTCTTTCTTGTCCTGCATTTTAAATTTCAATTCAGACCATCCATTCAGATTGTTTTTGATCAATTTTGTTATTCCAACCGAGCTTAGCAAAATAGTAATAGCTTAATTGGTTTCTAATTTTTTTTTAAATAGAGTACCGACTCAACCGATGTATCACAATTGTAGCGGACAATCAGAACCATACACGATACATCGGTAACTAGGGGTGGGTTTACGAAGTGCCCAGAAGGGTCTCATGCATCCGCTCAAGCCATTTTCATAAGTAGTTTTTTTTAGAGTATGATAGTTGGACAAGCTGAACTTGAATGATGGTTCAGGATATTAGAAAATACAAAGAATATCAACCAAAAAACAAAAAAATTCTTCGAAACCAACCAAAAAACTTAAGAAGTCCCTCGAAACGATGGAATTCGGCTAAAAATACAGCAGACTTACATATAAGACGTAGTATTGCATTTTACGCAAAAAGTTGATTCCATCTGGAAAAATGTATTTCATTTCCCAAATTAAAACAATTGATTTTTTTTTGCGTCAAACTGTGGGGTTGTTTGGTAATTGCTGAATAGTTTGATGCATAATGATTAAGTGATCAGAATGATTAAGAGGCTCTCATGATATAATGCAAAATAAAATATAACTGTTTGGTAATTGTGTACAATGAAATTAGGGTTCTTAATGGTTAAGGGAGATCCATGATACAAAATCATTCAAAGGGTTTTAGAACCATTAAGAGACAGACTTTCTTTTTATCAAACAAGATTCACCTTTTAACTATTCAAAAGTTATCTCTTAATGAAACTATTAACATGTAAACAAATAACCCCTACGTTAAATTTTCCACATAGAAGATTGAATTATTGGGGTGGGAAATGGGAATATGTGATAAGAGTCATGGCGTGCGAGCCGTGTCCCCTGCCCGGCTCTTCTCGTGAACGCAACTCACGGCGAGCTTGTGATGAGATAGCTTTATTTGCACCAACACCCCCTCATATTTTGTTAATTTGACAAATTTAACCTTTAAGTAATACCATTGCAATAGAAATCACATTTTTTTAAATCTTTTTGTGCTTAACTTTATTTGATGAGCAAAAAATGTCATTAAATTTACCTCAGGGCATAAGATTGTTTTTTGTTTTGGCTTAACCTGACAATAACACCTGAGATCTTCGGAGGGCTTCATAAAACCTCTCTTATACAACATTTCACCTATTCTTTCTCTAGCTTCAAGCTTTTGTTTAGTAGCTCATCAAGTCTTGTGTTCAAAAGCAACAAAAACGTTTAGAGGGTTTTTGAAATCACTGGTATGGCTATCGAAATCACGAGCTTTAGCATGTAGGTATCAAATCCAAGTGGTAGTTTCAGGGCCTTTAGCTATCGTTCTTGAAAAATGACCCGGTTTAGCCCAGGCTTTTTAGAACAGCTCCTTCTTGGTTCATCAGGAATTTAAATGACTGTTATCTTCAAGATTCCATGATATTAGTTGAGGTGCGCACAAGCTCGATCAAACAGCCATGGCCATAAAATACTCTTTTGCTCCCCATTGCTCATGAAAGAGAACACAATACAAAAAATACATCCCAAGATTTGATTTTTTTCGCGAGCAAGAAAATCTTGTTTTAACCATAATCCTAACTATGGTCGTGTCAAGCTAATCACAAAACAACCCTTGTTTTGAAGTAGAGAAAAAAATATTAGTGTAATAGTGTCGTTGTGAAAACCATAGGGGGTAAACTTAACTTTTTATATATACTAAGGGTGTATAATGAAAACTTACAAAACCTTGTGCGACTCAGATCTCCACAATCTTGTTATGCGCGCTTTCACTTTCCTTGCAACGAACTCCCACGTGTCTTTTTGGCACGTGTCATCGAAAATATCACAAATTTCTCAGCTCACTGAAAATATCATCATCTTCTTCACTTTCGACCACCACACAATCACACAATCAACTTCCTTTTGCTTATCTGCTCACACACACACTCTCTCTCTCTCTCTCTCTCTCTCTGTGCACGAGGACGACGCATATTCCATTGGGTACTTTTTCTGAAATCATTTTGGAGCTTTCTATGAAAATATCTGCTTCGTTTTTTTGTATTAATAGACTTGTTTGTCACTAAACCTTTTCAAAATTTTGAAGCTACATTGCAATCTCTGAGAGAGTTCTTCCTTTTCTCTCGTGTATTGGAAGATTGATTACACGGTGTAAGTAATTTCTCACGATAATTTGGAGTTACGGGCTGTTGTTTTAGTTTGTTTTTTGTTGTGATTCACTTGGTAATTCAATTTGTTGTTGCTTGAGTTTGGAATTTTTTTTATCGATGAGAATGTGTTCACATCTTTGGCTAACGATCTTGCTTGTTATATGGTTCTCCTTCTCCATGCGGCCCATGAAATTCTTAACAGTTTTGTTTTGGGTGTGCCCCAAAAATTGCTAGCATTCATATTTTTGGTGAAATTACGAGTTATCATTTTCATTGAACATCGAGTTTTCAGTTACTGAAAGGTATTTTAGGCTTTTTAACGCCAAACATGCAACTTTAGTGTGATAGATTGTATGGTTTTTGATGGTAAACATCTCCGACTTCGGGGGTGTTTGACATGCCCTAGAATCCTTCTTGAATGGTGGACAAAAATCGATTATGATTCAGATTTGCTGATTACTAAGTGTCAAAATAGTTAGACCATAAGAAAACTTATAATGAGATGAATGTAAAATTGCCTAAATTTCTCTGACTTCAAATCTGATTTTGATTTTTCAATTCAGAATAATCACTCTGAAAATGCACACCCAAACACTCCTCTCATGTATGTGTATAAAAAGTTATTGAAAAATGGTCAGGTTTGACTGAATGACTGTTTCTCTTTCTATCTAGCTATTTGTTCTTTAATACTATTTACAATCATATTGGATCATTCATTAGCTTTGTGATTATTGTTATTAATACTCGTATGCCTTAGCTAGTTTGGTCTTAATTTTGAGAATCAGTGCCACCATTGTCTTTGGTTATTTTCTTATTATCTTAGCAATTTTTTATATAACCTCCGAAGCGAGCTAAGTTAGTACTGCATAGATTAGCTGGTGCCCTTTTTTGAACTGTTATGGACAATGAATTTGCATGATTGTATTATTTTGTCATTGTACATATAACTTCATTTCAGTATCGTCTGTTGGGCCTCGTTGCTTGTTCATTTTTATCTCCCTCCCCAATACCTATTGTAGTATATAAAGTAGAATAGCCTCTGGAAATTTCAGGGATGGAGACTACCACAAAAGCCAATGGTGCTGCCAAATCAAAGGTCCCTGATAAGATTCCTGTTGCTGCTCGCCCACTAGCAGAAGATCCAACAGATATTGCATCCAACATCAAGTATCATGCTCAATACAGTCCACATTTTTCGCCTGTCAAATTTGAGCCCGAGCAAGCATATTATGCAGCAGCAGAGAGTGTTCGTGACCGACTGATTCAAGTAAAACTACTCAGACTTGAAGTTTGTTATTATATCATAACTCGTGCACATATATTCATCATGTACATAACATCTTTTTTCTTTCATATTTTGCTTGTACATTAAGTTGGGAAGCACAGCATTTACCTTTTACTAATCTATAAAGGTATATAATATGTTACTGATGGTAGGGATGTTGATTCAACTGTAAGATATAAGTTAGCATGTTAGGATTGATAAACCCCCGGGTCATCAGATTTTTCACCAGTTAAACTCTCGTCATGACACGATTAATAATCTTTACCAACTTACCGATCTCTGGTTTGAAATTTCCAGAACATGTGTGTATTCTTAATTAGACTCATCCTGCCACTTTTAAAGACTTCAATTTAGTAAGTTAATTCTAAGAGAATGTTTGTTCATCTTCTTAGTAATACTATTACATATATGATATGCATATATGCATCTATGAGTCCTAGAGGAAACTTATGTGACAAAGTCCTGTAGTCTTTACAAAAGATAGGTGGTGTGTTTCTATTTAGATGAAGGGGAACATGGCAAGCAGATTGTTTTTATTTGATCTGGATTGCCAGATAAAGATATTTAGTGTACATGCACCTTCCGAATCATGGACTACCACCACAAGTATAGAGAAAACATTTGATGATTTGTTGAAGGTTGATAACAAGGATGCATTGCATGTTTGTTGTTCATCTTTTTGTTGGAGCTGAAACTAACCCTGCTTCGTTTTTCTGTTTACTGCTTATGTAGCAATGGAATGAGACCTATCTTCATTATCACAAAGTTGACCCAAAGCAAACATACTATCTATCTATGGAGTTTCTCCAAGGAAGAGCATTGACTAATGCCATTGGGAATCTGGATATTCAAGATGCATATGCCAGTGCTTTGAACAAGCTGGGTCATGAACTTGAAGAAATCACTGAGCAGGTAATCCCTTAAAATCATTTTAACACGAATAATCGGTTTTTACATGTTCTGCATTCAAGCCATTCCAGAATATGTAAAATTAAGATCTACAATCGTGTTCCATGATAATTGTTGATGCATCAGAACTTTGTAATACCAAAACCTTTACTTTTGTCCAGCCATCACATGACTTATGAATTCAGTGAAATATTTAAGAAGGTTTTGAATTGATTAATGTTGATTTTTGTTCTGTCCTTGGGCGGTGAGGTTTCAAAAATATATCCCTATTTGTCATTTGTTGATGATACTGCATCAACCTTCTGCTTTTGAGTGGCCAGCAGATTCTCTGTGGCATTTAAGTCTCATACCCTTCAAAGATGAAATATATTTCATCACGTGGGAATCGATTAAAATTTGACCATCTCTATATTCTTAAGAATGCCGCTTTAATCGTTCACCTGACTCATTTTTTTGTAATTGCATTTACTGTAACATTTGTAGGAGAAAGATATGGCACTTGGGAATGGTGGTTTGGGGAGGCTTGCATCTTGCTTTTTGGACTCGATGGCAACATTAAATTTGCCAGCATGGGGTTATGGTCTAAGGTACAGGTATGGACTTTTCAAGCAGAGCATCTCTAAAGCAGGGCAAGAAGAGATGGCAGAAGATTGGCTTGAGGTCTGTGGACGGCACCTGACTGATTCTTCTGTTTAGCATTTATTAATGGTTGTTTGTTGCTAACTTTTCTGTAATATTGCAGAAATTTAGTCCCTGGGAGGTTGTCAGGCATGACGTGGTGTTTCCTGTCAGATTCTTTGGTCATGTCGAGGTCCTCCCGACAGGATCGTAAGCACAACTTCTAATTTGAATTAGCTAAATTTGTTTGATTTGTTTGCTTCGTCATCAATTCCATATCATTTTTGGTTGAAAACATTACGTGCCTTCTGCTTATCTTGCAGCCGAAAATGGGTCGATGGAGAGGTTTTACAAGCCCTAGCATATGATGTGCCAATTCCGGGATACAAAACTAAGAATACTAATAGTCTTCGCCTTTGGGAGGCCAAAGCTAGTGCTGAGGACTTCAACCTGTTTCAGTTTAATGATGGACAATACGGGTCTGCTGCTGAGCTACATTCTAGAGCTCAACAGGTTAGTTGTTCCTTAAGTTACCAAGAAGATGGGAAAATAATAGAACACCAATTCTGTTAAAATGATATTCTTCTAAATTTGAAGGAGGGTCAATATCTTTATAGCATGGGGGATACTCAAATCAGTGTTCAAAAAGGCGCGCCATGGCGCGATATGGCGCAAGACGCGTTTCCACTGTTACGAAATGGCCCATAGCTTTTTTGTAAGGCGTGGCTCACGCCATGGCCACGTTTTCTATAAGATGTGACTTCTTTTGAAAAAAAATTATTTTTTGTTTTTTTACACTTTTAACTTTAGATTTTACACTTTTATAGATTTATATAATCACATCACTCACAGTTCCACGAAGTCATAAACGTTATGGATTCACGATTAAAACGAAGTTGTAAAATTAACTTTCTAAGTTCTATTTTAAATATTTAATCAAAAACTATTTTTATAATAATAATCTATATCGTTTTTCTTCTTCTAATATGAATGTACATTTTTTAATATCATTATCTGATTAAATAATATATAGAAAACATATATGTATATATATAATTCAATATCATTCAAAAAAGTTTTGATAAGGGATGTATGGATTCTCGAGAAGAGAGGAGCCATGGTAATCTAGCTCTCCAACGGGCTAGGACACGAGTAGAGGCTATCAATGCGATTTCAATCCTCTTTTCGAGATTCATCGATATTGAATCAATCGAACGCACTTCGAATCAAAATTAGAATTCCTATTTTGATCATATCATTCTGATGAGTTATAGTATATTAGTTATCACGAATAATGATAATCGAGAGAATTTTGAATTAGAGCTCTAGATTTTTGTTAAATTTGTATCCATTTTTCATGATATTATGCATGGTCTCTTCGTATGTGTTGTCCGGAAAGAGGAGATACGACTTTGCACTGTAGTTAGCTCAGCACCATACAAATTTGCCGCCTTATGTCACGCCTTGAAAAACGGTGCATCCTCGCCCGTGTAAGGCTTGAGGCTTGAACTTGCCGCCACGTCACGCCTTTTTGAACCTTGACTCAAATTAGATTATTAATGCAGATTTGCGCTGTTCTCTATCCTGGTGATGCTACAGAAGAAGGGAAACTTCTTCGACTGAAGCAACAGTTTTTCCTATGCAGTGCATCGCTACAGGTTTTTTTTGCCAATCTTCTCATCTTGCATTTGTTACAGCATTAAAAGCATGATCATCTTGTTACCGATCTCTTTCAGATATATTACACTTGTTGCCTTTAGAGAGATGCCTTTATTGTTCCCTTTTGGTTTATGTCAACCTTTAGCTGTTGCAAACATGAGCTGGAGAGGTAAAGAGTGGGGGTAGGGTTATTGAGCCGGCTATTAATTAGTTCATCAGAATTCTAAGTTAGACTATGGGTGTGTGATTTTTCTTACCTTGGCTATATTTTCTTGTACCTACTCTTGTGTGTATGTTTTAGCTTACTTCTAACTCGATTTTCTTGTTTCAAATTCTTTTTCAAACCTTCTTTTGAGCAAACTTTCTCACAAGCTGGGGGTTTTCATGGAAACAGCCGCTCTACTCCTTGGGATGGAGGTCAGGTCTGCATACATCCCATCCCCCACACCCCACCTCGAGTTGGATATACCGGGCTCGTTTGGTTTGGTTTAACATTTAGCTATTGCAATCATAACCATGTGAAATCCCCCTTGCATTGTTGCATTCAGTTTGATCGCACACCTGTTATTTTGTTTTCATTCAACCGTCTGCAGATTTATCACCATGTAATTTAGCAAATAGAAATTGCAATCTAATGTGATTGATGAAAGTGTCTGGATTAAATGTAGCTCTAGGAGGGGACATCCATGTGTATATTATGCTAATTTAGCCCACAGTAGACACTTCTTGGCAGAATACATAAAATCAATCTACAAGAACAATCCATACCTCATACCTACTGAAAAATAATAAAGTTTTAATCTTTACGTTGGGATCACTTCAGGACATTATTTCCAGATTCAAGGAAAGAAAAGAGGGAACTGATGTGCGCCCGTGGTCAGAGTTTCCAAGCAAGGTTGCAGTGCAACTAAACGACACACATCCTACACTTGCAATACCAGAACTAATGAGATTGCTGATGGATGAAGAAGGACTAGGATGGGATGAAGCTTGGGATGTGACTTCAAGGTGCTGTGATGTTTATTAATTCCATAAATTCCTTCAAAAATATTACTATTTGGTCCTAATAATCTGGAGTTTACCTTCAACCAGGACAATTGCTTACACAAATCACACTGTCCTTCCTGAGGCACTAGAAAAGTGGTCACAGATCGTGATGGCAAAGCTTCTTCCTCGGCACATGGAAATCATACAAGAAATTGACAAGCGAGTATGTATTTTGAACATATTATTCTTGAATATATTAAAAAACATGCTTCATTGGTGATTAACTATAGAATTTGTACCCCTCTGCAGTTTATTGCGATGATAGAATCAACACGTCCTGAGCTAAAGAGTAAGATTTCTGATATGCGCATTCTGGATCACAACCCAAATAAGCCGGTTGTTCGCATGGCAAACTTGTGTGTGGTCTCGGGGCATACGGTAAGATGTTTACATAGTAAGAATGTAGGTGCAACAACCTAATTATTATAATCATTTGTTTTCTTCTCGAGGGAACTGGCCCACACCTATCTTTTTGCGCAATAGAAGGTTGAATAGACATTTTTAAATGCAATTCTGGTTTCAGTAGGTAATTGTGTCAAGAAAACCTCCAAATGGAACGGATTATTTAATATTGGCTCATACACGTGCATATTCCTAAGCTTTCTCCTAAGTCTGTCTAGTAGGTAATTAGGCTCCATCCATTTTTTTTCTCAATTTTGTGGCTCATCTTCATTTTTCATGGAAATGGAACCTCAAAATGAGAAAGATACTAGATGGACTAAAACAATGATCCCTTGATTTTATCTCGTTCTAGGAAATATGAACTGTCTTGTTAAAGTCAGGTAATGTTATACAATGATAGAATAATGACTAGTTCAAATTAGAATCTAAGGGGCTGTTTGTTTGGCTCTTAATGGTTACATTAAGAGCCAACCTATTAATCGGTAAGAGGTTAGGTCTGTTTGGCAAAAAAAAACAACCCTCTTAATGGTTACAATAACCTCTTAACCATATTGCATCTACTACCTCACTCAACCATTCAGATCGTTCTTTTTCCAATTTTACCCTTCCCACCCCTTCTTCCCATCTCGTCTCTTCACGCAGGTCGCCATCGCCGGTCGCCATCGCCATCGCCGGTCACCTCCACAGCTTCGCCGGTTGTCGCCGGTCACCTCGCCATCGAGTTGCAAACCCTATCGATCGAAAAAGGGGAGGAAAAAGGATCGAATAGCAAAAACCCTAACATCTCTGTTTTCGCCCCTGCTGTTTCTCCATCTCGATTGAGCCCTAACGGTGAAGGTAACACATCGCCGGTCTTCACAGCCCCTCCCCCACCCTCTCGTCGCCGGTCTTCACAGAGGGAACTTTGAGAGGAGATCGATTGAGGGAACGATGGAGATCGTGGAAGCAGACCAAGCAACGATTTAGGGATCGATTCTGACCA